GACCCATCAGGACGCGGGTGGCAGAGGGACTTCCCTGGTGGTCCAGTGGTAAAGAATCCGCCTTCCAGTGCAGGGGATGTGGGTTCGATCCCTGGATGGGGAACTAAGATCCCACGTGCCGTGGGGCAACTAAGCCCACGCGCCACAACTACTGAGCTCGCGTGCCTCAACTAGAGCCCGCGTGCCACAACTACAGAGCCCACGCACTCTGGAACCCACGCTCCACAACAAAAGAGCCCACATGCCTCAACGAAGATCCCGCGTGCCGCAACTAAGACCCGACACAGCCAAAAAATAAATAAAATAAATAAATATTTAAAAAAAGAAAGACGGGGGTGGCAGAGAGGAGGGAAAGGGCGTGAGAGACCCCCAGCTCCACCTTGCCCCCTGCACACAGTTCCTTCATTTCTTTTTTTTCCTTTCTCAGCAAACTTTTCTTCCTCCCCCAAATGCCCCACACACCTGAGGAGGAAAGGTGGGGAAAGAGGGTAGGGGAGTCCCAAGAGGCTGCAGGCCACCCAGGGACGCCGGCAGCCACTTCCCTCCCCACCGCCGGCGGGAAGAGGCCTCCTGGTGCAGCACCCGTTCCTTCTCCCCCACACACTCCCCTCCAGGGCCCCTCACCTGCTCCTCTCCTTCCTCTCATAGATACGCTGAAGCTTGTTGATTAAGAAGATTTTGTCTTCCCCCTCCTAGAAATGCCAGAACACAAAGGCTGAGAAAACAGCCATCACGTGTCCGTCCAGAAGTGCCCTGTTCCAGACTGCACTTGGGGTAGCTCACAAAGAGTGTCTGACATCACAAGCACAAAAAGTTTAAAGAAGGGGGACAGAGGCACCAAACAAGGACAAGGAAATACCAAGAGCCAAGTAGTGGGCACACATATACACACACACACACACACACACACACACACACACACATATATGCATCTAAGCTTCCTAGTGGCCAAGGTGAAAAGGGAAATGTGATCAGTTGCACAGTGAGGGCTGCCTACCCAGCCTGACTCAATGTACAACCGGCCCTGACACTTAGTCTGTCTTGGGCAAATTACCTCCCCTCTGACCTCGGTCACCATCTGTAAAAGAGGGATACAAATGTCTGTGTCATGGGGCTTTTATTAGTTTTCTATTGTTGACCTAATCAATTACGGAAACTTAGTGGTTTAAAACAACACAAATGTAACATCAGTTCTGGAGGTCAGAAGTCCAAAATGGGTCTCAGTGGGCTAAAATCAAGGAGTCAGCAGGGCTGGTTCCTTCTGGAGCCTCTGGGGAGAATCTATCCTTGCCTGTTCCAGCTTCTGAGTCTGCCCACATCCCTGGGCTCATGGCCTCCTTCAGAGCCAGCAATGGCCAGTCCAGTCTTTCTCACACCTCTTTCTCTGACAGTGACTCACCCACTTCCTTTCTTAAGGACCTTACGATTACATCATGCCCACCCGAATAATCCAGGATAATCTCCCACCTCCAGGTCAGCTGATTAGCAACTGTAATTCCATCTGTGAACCTAATCCCACAACCCCAATGCCACATAACCATGGCATATTCACAGCTTCTGGGATTAGGACAAACATGTCTTTGGGGCAGGTATTGGCCAACCCAGGGCTCTTTCGACAAGTGACTGTGAAAACGCACATAAAGCTTTAAGTCTAGGACCCAGTAAACATCAGGCGGATTTCAGGGCCCATCGAACCCCGGGGTCAGACTGGATTCCTCACGGGGAGTCTTCACAAAGGGAAAACAGCAATTTGGTCAGGATGCGTTCTGGGAGCTGGGGACCCTGGCTCACCCACGAAGGCGCTGAGACACTACGAGGTGGGACCTCCTTAAGAGACCTCCCCGTTTTCTCTCCATCGAGTTGGTGGGTACAGAGGGCTGTGCACCTGAGTAAGCCACCTGCCCAGGCCAGGGAAAAGATGTTCCGAGCGCAGGCTGAGATCAGAAGTGTGGCCCCAAGGACTCAGAACCAGGGCCAGCCTCGGCCTTGGGAGGACACAGCCTGCAGCAAGGGCCGCCTGGGGAACCGTCCTTCAGCTCCTAGAGGAACGGCGGGCGGAGCTGGGATTCCCCTCCCGACGCTGCTGTGCGTCCCACCACCACGGGACACCGCAGGCCCCAAAACTCTACAAGGTAGGGCAGGAGCCGGTTGGGAAAAGCCCACTTCCAATAGCTGTACCTCAGCCAAAATGCCCAGCCTGAGCCCTGCCCTCGGTTTGTGAAAGGGGAGGAGAGGGGTTACCTTGTACTGCCTTACTTATAACCGTATAAAAAGTGGGAGCTGTCCCCAGGGCATCCTTCCACCCAAGAAGACCTGACCCAGAGTCCCTGCACCAATTAGCCAGCAGCAGAGTCACAGGCGAGCTGCACCCCAGCCCTGTCCTGCCTCGGCTGACACCCAGCAGCTGACCCCCAAGTCATTTCTAACGAAGAGTGGCTGGTGGCCACCAGCCCTGATGTGACCGCCTAGGGGACACAGGCACCAGCTGGCCCCAAGGTGGGCTCAAGCATTAAGTACACTGGGAAGGAAAAGGAAAAAAGAAGAAACAGCAGTGGGGAGAGTGATGTCAGGGCCCTGGGTGCAAGGTTGGGGCCCTGGGGATGAGGTCAGGGCCCACCAAGTGTTCAGGGGAGACCCGCTGTCACTGACAGGTGCCCCTGAGCAGCCAGCCCAGACCCCGGGAGGACAGGACCAGGTGAAAGGCCATTCCTGTCTGGGGAAATGCCAGCCCAAGTGACTCTGACCTACGGGGCAGTGACTTCTTTTCAAGGTGGTGGGAGGCCCAGTAACTGCGCAGGAAGGGAGGGACAGCCTGCGGGCAAGGCTGGGCAGCCTCTAGTGGGGATGCGGGGGCGGGGGGGCGGGGGGGGGGGCGGGGGGGGAGGTGTGGAGGGACCGCGGGTGTGAGCCAGCAGGCACCCCCGAGGTGGGAGCCCAAGGGGCACTCACGTTGCTTAGCTGCTCCTTGAGGAGGCAGATGACTTTCCGCTGGCCCTTCACCACCTGGATGTTGAGGTAGATCACGGCCCTGCGGGAGATGGCCGCTCAGGCTGGGCCCCCCGCGCAGGAGCCCCGGGGGAGGGAGACCAGGGCCCCCACACGGGCCTGTCCCCCACTCACAGCAGCAGAGCCGATGCCAAGTAGATGGGGAAGGCACTTTCCACCAGGTACCGGTGGATCCAGGGCAGCCAGGAGACCCCAGGGCCCGCCTTCTCCAGGTGGCGCACCCACACCTTGCCTGCCTCATACATAGTGTCCAGGGTCCGGAAGGGGCCGCAGATGCTCGAGGGCTTCACCCTGGGGGAAGAGGGCGGGCGGCTTGACCCCTCAGCCCGGACAAAGGCCATCTCCACACCACCCAAACCGCGGCCACAGCGGCCCCAGGGGGCAGCTCCCCATCCCGCCCCCCCCCCCCGAGGCCGAGGGCCCACTCACTGCCAGATGGCGTAGCAGAGGAAGACGGCAGCGCCCAGAAAGGAGGGGAAGCAGAGCAGCGAGATGAAGACGGTGCTCATGTGGGAGGCCTTCCAGGGCCTGCGGGGCGCCTGGCAGTTGGCCATCAGGCTGGTCTGGGGACAAAGGTTGCGCTCTGCCACCACCCTGCCACCCACCCTCCCCCAGGCCTGGTGGGGCCTCCAAGAGGGAAGGGGGCAAGGCCGGCAGTGGGCTGGGGGTGTTCTGCTTGCAGGGGGAGCCCGAGCCGATCCCCCAGGACAGCCCCGCAGAGAAGCAGACACTCAGAATCTCAGCCCACAGGCTGGAAAGGGCCAGCGGGGCTACCTCCTGGTCTACGGAGGGGAGACTGAGGCTCACGGGGGGCAGGCTGGCCAGGTCACCCGCACGTGAAAGGGTTGATACTAAAAGCCACCTCCACTGACTGAAGGTCTCCACCGTGCCCGACACTTTGTAAACATCATCTCCGGCAGCACCCCCAGAGCAGCATCCACGTTGTACAGAGGAGGAAGCACAGGACCGGGGAGAAGGACCTGGTCCTGAGCACTCCCAGCCCCCCGGCCCTAAGCCCTGGCCCGTGCACACGGGCACCTGGCAGTGACCACGGACCCTGACAAAGGCAGCGATGCAGGGGCGGGACGGGGGTCAGCTGTGGCCCGTGGGACTGACCCCAGAGGGTGGCCCTGGGCTGCCAGCCCCACACCACTTGGGTCAGGGCTCCGCATCTGCCGGCCCAGCGGCCACCCTGGCTGCACAATCTCCCCAGGCCCCGCCGCCCTCCCGGGGACCCGGCGGCACCTCTACCTTCTTGACGTAGAAGAGGAACAGCAGCTTGATGATCTGCATGGCGGGGAGCAGCGGGGAGAAGAGGACCCCCAGCCTGAGGAGAGCGAAGAGAGGAGAGGGCTGCATCCCAGAGGCTGGGTCCTGACCCCTGTGTGGCTCCCCAGGCCTAGAAAGGCCACCCGGGCCTGGCTCGGGGTCGGGATCCCGGGGAGCTGCGACTGGGTCCCCGGGGAAGTGAGGGTCAGGTCACTCCAGATTCCCAGGGCTGGGTCTTGCTGTGGCCCAGGGGGAAGCGGTCAGCCTCCCCAAGGGCCAGGCACTGGGACACAAGTGGGAGATGCTCACCAGGTCAGGGTCTGCCCATAAATCAGCTCCAGAACATTCCCCGCAATGTCGAACTCAGGCTTTCCCTTCCTCTGAGACCTCTTCTCAGAGATGAGCCTGGGCAGAAGAACCACTGGGGTCACGCAGGAGGGCCAATCCCCAAGACAGACCCTCGTCCCCACCCCGACCCGCACGCCAAGCTGAAGACCCTGCCCGCCCCACCAGGGTGCCCAGTGATGCAGAGGGGAGACGGCGGCCTGGGGTCCCACCCTGAAGGGTCCACACTGCAGCCAGCTTCATCTCCATCCTTTTTCTAAGCATGTACGGATACACCCGGGTATAAATGTGCACGTCAGCATCAAATGTTTTACTGTCTTTTTTTTTTTTTTTTTTTTTTTGGCTGCGTTGTGTCTTTGTTGCTGCACGCGGACTTTTCTCTAGTTGTGGCGAGCAGGGGCTACTCTTCATTGCAGTGCACAGGCTTCTCATTGCGGTGGCTTCTCTTGTTGCAAAGCACGGGCTCTAGAGCGCAGGCTCAGTAGTTCTGGCACATGGACTCAGTAGTTGTGGCTCGTGGGCTCTAGAGCACAGGCTCAGTAGTTGTGGCTCGTGGGCTTTAGAGCACGGGCTCAGTAGTTGTGATGCACGGGCTTAGTTGCTCCACGGCATGTGGGATCTTCCTGGACCAGGGCTCAATCCCATGTCCCCTGCATTGGCAGGCGGATTCTTAACCACTGCGCCACCAGGGAAGTCCCTGTTTTACGGCTTTTTAAAAATCTTATTAAAGTCATATGTTCTCAAAGAAAACACAAAAAGAAGGAAACGACACCTACAATGCTAGCACTCGTAGCCAGGACATCTGAAAACGTTCCTCTACTTTCTGTTCTTCCTCCCCACCCCTTTTTCCTTTGTGTGAGACAGATTATACCATATGCATCATTTTGAAACCTGTTTTCCTTTCCAATCTCAAAATAGGTCACATCCTGTCTCCTAAATGTTTTTCTCAGTTTATCGATATTTTACAGAAGAGCCGTCACGGGTAGAGATTTATGGCCCCAATCTGGGGTCAGGTCCTGATTTTCAGAGGCCTGAGAACCGCCTGAGTGACCCTCACCTCCACCACACAGGTGAGGATGCCAGGAGCCCTTCCACAGGGGGAGCCCAGGTGCCCAGGAGGTGAGCGCAGGGACCCGCCCCTGGGGCCTCACCTCCACACCAGCTCCCCCAGAAGCGTGTCCAGCAGCGTGAAGATGAAGTCCATCACCATGAGCCGGTACAGCTCCTGGCCCACAAAGTCCTCCCAACACTGAAACGGACGCGGCCTCAGCCCCCAGTGCCCTGGTGCCCCCCACCCCTGCTCCCCATGCCCACCTGGGGGCCTCCAATACGCTTGTAGACCGGGCCAGGTAAGATGAGGTGAGGGCTGGCTGCTGTGAGGGGCCACCACGTCCACCCCCAACCTGGGACCAGGGCAGACCCTCTTGAGGGGCCCAGGGAGCCCCACGCCTCTGCCAGCACCGCCCGGCCCGCCCTCACCTGGTCCTTCAGGGTGCCCACCCTGCGGCCCAGCCAGTGGTAGCAGAGAATCCCCAGGATGACCACCTTGAGGATGAGGTTCCTGCGGAAAGAGGGGGGAGGGCGTGCACAGGCTGAGGGAGGGGTGCCTGGGAGACAGAGGTCCCGCCCCAGAAAGCCCCACCTGGCGGTCCCATCCGACCACGCACCTGCAGATGGCCACGTACACCTCTAGCACCGGGGAGTCGTGCCGCTCCAGGACGGCCAGGACGCGGAACAGGTAGGGGGCCCCCAAGTTGAGAAGGCAGACCACCAGGGGCAAGGCCAGCAGCGCCCCGTCCCGCTCAGCAGACACGCGGCTCTGCTACGGCAGGGGGAGGGCCAGAGGTCAGCGCCCCAAGGACAGAGGCAGGTCCACTGATGGGCCCGAGACGGAGGAGGGGTTCCCGGGGCGGAAGGAGGGGGTGGAAGTGGCAGGCACGCCACCCTCCGCCCCAGGCCCAGTGTTCAAACCGCACAGGAAGGGGCGTGGGAGGGGGAGAACGGGGGATGGAACACAGGTGTGGGGGAAGAAAAGAGAAACCAAAAGAAGACGAGAAAACAAAAGGACAGAAAAATAGGGAGAGTGTTGAGACAGAACAAGAATGAGAACAAGGCTCGTGAGGGAAGTGGCCTCCAGGGAGGGCCCGGGCGGAGGCGGCGGGGCCCCAGGGGGCCCAGTCTAACGAAGCAGGCATCTAACCCCACGGCCGGAGCCTCCGGGGGACCCCCACGCCCTCCCCGCACCTGGATCACGAGCTCTGAGAAGGTGTAGACGGCCAGGGCGCACACCAGCGTGGTCCCCAAACACAGCAGCCAAACGAGCCCCAGCACGGCCCCCTGTTGCAGCCGTCCGCACGCCCTCCGGGGGCGCTGCCTCAGCTGCCCCTCGGCCAGCAGCTCCTGGGGGCGGCAGCGGGCCTGTCACCCGCGGCACAGACCCCCGGAGACACGCAGACACACAGGGAGGCTCGGGGAGCACCGGGGGTCGCCTCCCGCCCACCCCTGGGGCCACGGCCCGTCGCTCCCCCTGCTCTGGGGCCCCTCCAGGCACCAGGAGACCGCAGGACGGGGCCGCAGGCTGAGGCCTGCCCCAGCCGCTCCCACGCACCCTCCCCAGCCCTGCCTCCTGAGCTGTCCTGCCTGTGGACAGCCGTACCCTCGCTGACCCGGAGCCCCAGGGCACTCCCTGGGGGCCCATCAGCCGGGTCAAAGCCGTGAGCTGCCCTGACCCGAATCCCACAGCGGGAAACCCCAGACAGGCAGAGAACCTTCCGCAAGGCCCAGGCCAGCCACCCTCAAGCCCTGAGGCCTTGGGCAGTGTCCTCTCGTGTACCCCAGGGCTATTCCGGGGACTGGGACACGTGCCAGCTGGCGCCCCGCAGGCCTCTGCCCGCGGGGGCCGGAGGACACGGGGACTCCGGGGAGAGGGCCCGAGAGCAGCCCTAACCCTCTCCCACCGGAGCAGGCCCTGACTGGTGTTCCCTGGACACTGGGTGGGGGACAGCGGCCCCAGGGCCCCTGGGCAGCCCACCTTCAGCTGGGTTCGGATGTTGTCGTGCTGGAGGCGGCTGGCCCATTTCTGAGTCACTTTGTAGTCCCAGGAACAGAAAACAGTGATGGCATGGACCCCCGAAGTGCTGCCTACCCGGTAGCTCTCCCCAAAAGAGCGGGACATGCTGGGAGAAGCAGAGGCAGGCAGAGGGTGAGATGGGGCGGCAGGCGCAGAGGCTGGGAGAAGACAGATGGGATGTTCCCTGCAGCCAAAACCTACCACCCATTCAGGGGAGCCCTCCCAGCGCTGGATGGGCCTCCGGCCACTCTCCCTGCCCCACCTCTAGCCCAGAGCTCTCAGCCTCCTGGTGTGGACTGCCGGCCACTCTTAGATCAGCCCTGACCAACAGGGTGCCCACAAGCCACAAGTGGCTAGAAGAGGGGTCAGGCTCCCCTCCCCACCAACACGGCCGGCTGCCTCCCACCCAGACGTGGCTGCAGAGGGGTCAGGCTCACCTCAGGGCCTTTGCACTGCCTCTCCCGATAACCAAAACACCTTTCCCGGCCTTTCTCCAGCCCACCCTTATTTAACCTCCCTCTCTGGGATGAGTGCCACCGCCCTGGGGAGCTGGTCTGACTTCCTCTCCTATGCTCCAAAACACCGGAGCAACATAACACCAGGAGTTTCCCAGCCTCTTCATTGGCCTGTCTTCTCCTGTAGACAGCAAGCTTCTCAAGGACATGCACCAAACTCACTTACCTTCCCGTCCTGAGCAGAGCACAGCAAATGTTTGTGGAATGGATGGGTGCATGGATGAAAGTGTGGATGGATGAATGGAAGGAAGGCAGGATCCATGGATGCACGGTTGATGGATGGATGGATGGACGGATGGAGTGATGATGGATGGATGAATGGATGATGAAGTGATGGTGGATGGATAGGTAGCTGGACGGATGAATGGATGGGTAGCTGGATGGACGGATGGATGGACAGATGGATGCATGGGTGGATCAATGGCGCTCAGAGCCAGGGTCATAGAGTGGAGGGCTATTACCTGTACACCAGAGTGATGCAGGTGATAAAGAAAGCTACCCCCACGGTGAAGAGGTAGGCCAGGGGCATGTTGTAGGGCAGGCCGCCCGCCTCAGGCGTGCACTGGCCGCCATCCAGTGGGGAGGCACACGGCTGGTTCAGCGTCGCGTTACTATAGTAGCCGTAGTACATGACGGTGTGGGTGAAGCAGCCCTGTAGAGAGGACGCCCGGCCACATCAGGGACTCTCCCCCTCCCTGCACCTGACCCACCCTCAGGCTTGGAAGGCAGATGGAGGGCGCCCAGGGGGCGGGGCGAGGGGAAAGGCAGAAGGGGAAGGGCAGGGGCAGTGAAGAGAACACGGAGGTGGGCAAAGGGCCGCGGCCACCCTGGAGCTGCCAGGGCACCCCCCTCCCGGAGTCGCAGCAAGGGGTGGGGTGGGGATCCCTGGAGGAAGCCATGACAAGGGGGCGCCTGCCCGCCCCCACCAAGCCTCACCCCGCCCGTGAGAAGCTCCAGGCCCCTGAAGGCGGGCGCGGAGCCCGAGGGCGCAGGCGGAAAGGCTGCCTGCACGGCCACGATAAAGGCCAGCAGTGGCAGCAGCAGCAGCGTGTTGAAGGCCAGCAGGGTCTTGAGGAAGAGGAAGTAGGAGAGAACGCTGGAGCCGAACTGGCCCCCGATCCGCTTCAGGGCATAGTGCCAGGGCATCAGGGCCTGCAGCCCCGAGAGCAGCACGAGCCCCAGGTTGTGCGACGCCTGTGGGGCCAGCAGCAGGACAGCCCTCAGGCGAGGCTGGAGAGGGGAGCCGGCCCCCAACCAGACCCCGGGCCAGGCCTAGAGCGCAGGGGCAGTGGAGGGGCAGCCGCTAGGGGAGGGGGGGTCGATCACACCCAGAGCCAGGCTGAAGGCTAGAGGACCCCACGAGCGGCACGCGGAGGGAGAACACGTGGCCCCCCTCAGTGCCCCCGTCCCCAGCTGCCCAGAGGCGCCTACCAGGATACAGCTGTCGCGCAGCCGGCTGCAGCAGGAGAGGAGCCCATGGCGCCCCCGGGCCCTCCGCTTGCCCCTCGGGGGCCGGCTCTCCACTCTGGGGGCAGAGGCAGCATCAGGGCTTGGTCCACTCCCTCCCAGGGACCACCCGCCCACCGCAGGCTCGGGGCCCTTCTCACCAACCACCACGCCCAGCCGAGGAAGTGGGGCTGGGGTCCGCACGAGGCCAAGGGGCACTGACCGCAGGCAGCGTTTCTCGGCCAGGCTCAGTGGCATCCCCCGGAGCATGTGGTCCCGCTGGGCCACCGTCAGGCCCTGAAGCTCCTTCACCAGGAGACCCTGCTTCTCTGTAGGAGCAGGAGGGAGCCCTGCAGGTTCCCCGCAGCATCCTTCCCTCCCTCCCACAACTGTGGCTGTTCCCCGGCAACACAGGCCTCTGCCGCCCTGCCGGGCCCAAAGGCTCCTCTCTGCTAGGACCCTGTGCTGCTCACCTGTCCCACACCCTCACTGGCCGTCGCTCTGTCACCTCTGCCCCCTGGAGCCCAGGACACGATCAAGCTCCCAGCATCTTCTGAGGCCCAGCCCAGTGGCCCCTCTGCCTTGAACCAAACTCTCCTCTTGGGTCCCCACTCGCATCTTGCTCTGACCCCCCAATGCCCCTGAGCCCCGTCCACCCCCCACTCAGCAGTCCCCACTGTCCCCCCACCACATCCCACTATGCCAAGGCCTGGTGGGGTGAGTAGGGGAGGGCGGGACCTGGAGATCTGCCCCTCCCCTATGTCCTCGTTCCTTTCATCTTCACAACCACCCTGGAAAGGGGGTGCTGTTTTAACCCCACTTTACAGATAAAAAATGACCAGAAAGCAGACACCTGGCGTGGTTTACACAATGAAACTGGAATGTCCATCCTGACCTCAGAGCCCACACCACCCTGCACTGCTCCGTCACCCACCAGCTGCAGGCCTTGGGTAAACAGGGAGAGGAAACACAGGCAGGGCCCCAGGAAGTACCCAAGCCCCTGGGCACTGATGCCAGAGATCACCTGGCTGAAGACCAACCTGTGAGCTGGGCCCTGCCCCCTCCTACGACCACTCTTCCTTGTTCTCCAGCCCCGCCACACAGGCCTCCCAGATACTCAGGCAAGCCGGCAGGCTCCCACCTCAGGGCCTTTGCCCATGCCCCATTGACTCTAGTGTCACTTCCTCCAGGAAGCCTTCCTGGGTCGCTCCAGGCTAGACAGGTTCCGTGACACTCTCCTGCGGCGTGCCTTTCCTCAGCTGCCCTTATCTGAGCTTCAACCATCCACTTATCCATTTATTTGGTTCCTGTCTGTTTCACAAGGCAGACAATAAGCTGCATGAGAGCTGACTGGGTCTGCTTACCACCATCACATCCCAAAGCCAACACCAGCGTCTGCGACACTACAAATGCTCAACAGACGCTGTGGAGCGCGTGCCTGCATGAGCCAAACACTGTGCAGCTGGAAAGGCATGCACTTCTCCACGCCAGTGGCCAGAACACCGAGACACTCCCATACCCCTGCAAAGAGACCTCACCGCTGGGGGCCTTCAGACAGCCCACTGCACCCCAGTCCCCCGACCCAGCCTGCTGACCTCCTCCCCACCGAGGCTCCGGGCCCCCCTCACTCACCATCCTCCTCCAGGACCGCGGGGTCCAGCTCCAGGTCGTACAGGCGGAGGCTGGGCCGGGCTGAGCGGCCCACATCTCTGAGCTGAGGCCGGCCGGCCCTGCGGCGCAGCCTCACCGTACGGCTGTAGTACTGGGAGATGATGGCGCCGCGGCTCCGGCCTGTGGAGGCCGCTGGTCAGGGGGGGACGTGCCCCTCTTATGTAGAGGCAGGGGCTGCCCCCCCGCTCCTTCCCAGGACCCATGAAAGTTCTTTCACAAGAGACCTCAAGCACCACCGGGTTCCCAAGAGCATATTTTTATCCCCGTGACGACTCCGGAGTCGTTTTTAGACCGCGGCGAGGCTGCATGGGACTGGGCTGGGCCTCCAAGCAGCAGACAGGGTGGGGTAAGAGCCGAAGAGGCCTGGCTCTGAGGTACACAGATCCCTGCCGGAAACCGCAGCCCAGCCCAGGGTCCAAAGGCAGAGGGTCCCACTCACCAATGGTGCGACTGGGCATGCTGGCCAAGATGCGGAGTGTGGCCGTGCTGTAGACAGGGGCGCCCTCGGGCCCCAGCAAGGCCTGGCGGTCACTGCCTGCCCAGCAAGAAAGACTCGTCCAGAGGTTCTACAGACACCACTGGCCGGAGATATCCCCTGCCCACCCGCTGCTCCAGGCTGCTAGGAGGGGCTTCCTGAGAGGTTGAGAGGCTCCGTGTCCGGCCCACACAGCCCAGCACCCGGCCTGGGCCAGGGCAGGCGGGCTCACCTGAGGCCCCCAGGGCTCCAGCCCCCAGCGCCCTGTGCTGCAGCTCCAGCCCCTCCTCGGCCACCCAGCGGCTCTGCTCCTGGATGAGCTGGTGGAAAGAGTCGTGCACTTCGCTCTCATCATAGGGGCTGGGCTCCTGGCTGCTGTGGTGAGAATGGGGGAAGGGGCAGGAGTTCAGGCTGCGGCTGACCCAGTCCTCGCCCCAGCAGCCTACCCCCTCCGAAGGGCTGAGGTCCAGACCACCTCTCCCGGGGGGTGATACATCCCAGCCCCCCAGCCCCACCTCAGAGCACTTACTCCTCTGGGTCCTGTGGGGTCTCAGGGACATTGAGGACAAAAGCCAGCGACCGGGACATATCTGCGGCCCACCCGCAGCCAGTCTGCCGACCTAGGGCAGTTCAGAGCCTGGACACAGCCTCAGGAGCCTCCCGCTGCCCATGTGATGAGACAGAAAGCGTTACAGCAAAGTTAGCCTGGCACCCAGCTCCACTGCCCACTCCCTGGGGACCATGGGGGGTGCCACTCCCAGCCCAGGCTGCCTGAGCCCCCATCCTGCCCCCATCCACACACAAACACCAAACGCGTGGCCCAGTGAGTGGCCCCGAATAATCCTCAGGCCAGAACGGATTGAGGGGGAGCTCCTTCCGGAGGGAAGGAGGAAGGAAGTGAGGGGAGTCTGGGCAGCTCCCCACCGGCTTCCTCAGTGACGCCATCCCTGAGAGATGGGGAGCGGGTGGGGTGCCTGTAGATAGGTTCTCCATTCCCAGGGTTCTGACCCAGAGATGCCGCCCTCTGGGTGGGAAAGGTCAGAGCAGTTGAGACCTTCCCTGCGCCCGCCCGTGACCACACAGCACTTCCTCCCGGCCGGAAATCCCACAGACAGCTAGCAGCCTGGGCCCTCACCCTCACCAGCGCCTGACAGAACAGCAGACAGGATGGCCTCCTCGGCTGCGCCCCACCCTGCATCCCCCCCACAGGAGTCACTCCACGCCAACCTGGGCGCGTCAATGTTGACAGCCCTCCTGGGAGACTCCCCTATATTCCATCACCTCCCGCAGGCCGGGGCAGCTGGCTGGGGGAGGGGTGCTGGGCATTGAACAGGCAGCCTTTGTCCGGGCTCTGCCATCACCCAAGACAACTGAACCAGGGCGGCCTTGTCCAGGCTCTTCAGCCCGTGGGAGTGGGGCAAGGGCAGCAGGCTCCCAACCACCCACTGAGTCCTGCAGGCTCTGCCCCAGCAAGATGGGGCCCAGCCCTCGGTCTGCCCTGTCCACCCCTCCTCACTACCCTCACCCCCAGGGAACTCAGCACAGAGGAAAGCTGGCTCAGCTCAAGGGGCTTCCTCAGGCGAGGCCAGGGTGTCCAGACAGAGCAGGTCCCGCTAGGGCTGTACCCAGACAGTGCCCTCACTTAGGGGTGTCCAGTCTCTGAGCCCAGGCCGCACAGAGTCCAAGCCCCCTCCCCTTCTCTCTCACAAGGAGTACAGTGTGGAGAAACCAGCAGAGAGGGGTCAGAGGTGGACTCTTAACTCCGCTTGAAATGGTAAGTAGCTGGGGCTGAGGGTGTGCCCCCCAATCCAGTCCCTAGAGCTGGAATTCCTTCCTAGAAAGACAGACCTTCCCAGGTTCAGATCTACAGGCCTCTCACACACACCCCTTCTCCAGGAGGGAGAAGCAGGGAGATGGAAGGTGCTCAGAGGCTGCCTGGAGGATGGGGGCTCACCTGGGCACTGGCATCTGGGCACTGCCCAAGACTTCTGTCCAGCTGGTACCCAGCACCCTGGCACCCTTGCCCAGGCAGGGACAAGTCGGGCAGGAGCTCCCAGGGTGCACCATTCCTGAGCCGTGAGCCAGGTAGGGAGGGGCAGGGTGGGGCCCGTTTCCAGAAACCCCACCCCAGCCGGAAGCCAGTCCTCTGGGAGCAGCTACTGCCCAGTCAGAGCCGCGGCCCAGCCTCTGAGCCGAGGGAAGGCAGGAACTCCGAGAGACCCTGGACCCCTCATCTGCCAGTCTCCCACACGCCCACTTTCCACCAGTGGTACCCACCTGCAAACACTGCCTCCCCACCCTTTCCCATCCCGAGAGACACACACCACCGCCCTCTCCCCTGACGCCCGCCACCTGACTGTTGGGGTGAGCTGAGATCTTCACGTCCCCCGCCCGGACACCCCTGAGAGAGTCAACTCCGGTAGTGAACTCAGGGAGATCCAAGAGAACCCGAGGAGTCAACTCAGTGCCCAGTGGCCCCAGAGGCCCAAAGGAATTCGGAGGGGGTGGAGCTGGTGGCCGCAGGGGAATTGGATGGGGCTAGGAGGACGAGGGCGAGGTCCCCAAGCCCCGGAGCTGCGACCCCCACCCACGACCCGGCATCCGCATCCCGGCACTGGCCTGGGAGGCGCTGGGGAGGACGGGCCCGGCGCGCGGCTCACCTGACCCCCGCGAGGGCCGCCGGAAACTGTGTCTGGGCTCCACCAGCTGCGGCAGGGGTCGTGAGGTCAGAGGGAGGGAGTGGCCAAGGGCCCTGGGGCGACCTGTGAGCGTATCAGGCCTGGCGGGGCCAGAGTGCTGCTCCGCCCAGCCCGGCCCACGTGGCGACTGGGCTCGGACAAGTCACGTGACCCGGCTGAGGGGGCGCGCCCCGCTCCTCCTGCTTCCCCTCCCCGTCGAGCCCTCGGCGACCGTGCCCTCTCCCCACCAGCTTCCGACCCCTCCTCTCACCCCACCCTGAGGTCTGACCAAGATGAAGGCGGCGAGTGTCTGGAAGTGTTCCAATCTCCGGATGAAGCCAATTTCTGTGGGACTCAGTTTCCCCAAGTTTCAAATGGAGACAATGATTCCAGACCCTCCCACTTCCCAGGGCGATTATCAAAATAACACCATGCGGCAAAGCCACACGGATACGGCGGGCGTTGCAGGACTACATTGGGTAACCCCTTCCCCCAGCACAGCCTCCCGCGACAACTAGCCCCAAACTGGCTGGTAGAACCCGGGGTTATCTCCGCCCTCCCGATGTGGGCGTGGTTTCTCCAGCAGAGTTCCGGCACACTTCCTGTGTGCTAGGTGGGGAAGAGGGGAGGCACACTTGGGGGCTGTCCCCATTGCTGTTTGCTCCGTTATTCCCCACAAGCCAGGGAGGGGGGCACTGATGACCCTAGCTCACAGATGAGGAAACGGGCCGAGAGGTCAGTCAGCCTCCAGGGTGTCATCGGCCAGGGTGTAAGTCTTGTCCACCTGGGAGCTCTACCTAGAAACCTGACCTCGAAAAAGCCCGGCAGGCCAGAGAAGAGTCACCCTTGGGTTTGAGAAAAGGGTGGGATTTGGACAGTGGTGGGAGCCATTTCTGGTTGGGAGAAGACTTGAGAGGCGGGCAGGGTAAAAGTGAGCTGGAAGGCAGAAAGGAAGGGGAGGGCCCTCCTGGGAGGGAGGACAGGTGGGCCAAGCCAGGATGCCCAAATAGTCATTGCCTCAGGATGGATCTTGGTACAGGCACCTCAGCCTAGAGAACTAGCTCTGCCCAGCCCCCTCCTCTCCCCCAACACTACTCCCTGCCCTGCACACCCATGCTCCAGTCGCGTTTTACTTGCATGATCCCAGGCACAACTTGAAAGTCACCTCCTCTGGGGAGCCTTCCGGGACTGAACCCTGTTGGAGCATGTGCCACTTCCTAGTGACATGTACATTTACTAGTCCGTCCCCCCTCTCCCGCTCCGTCTCTATCTCTATGCTCACGGTGTGCCCAGCACCAGCACCCAGCCTGGGGCCTGGCATGGGGCGCGGGGCGGGGGGGCGGGGGTGTCTGGAAAATCAGGAGGGGAAGCAGGCAGGGAGGCAGAAAAAACACTGGAGCTCTTTAGGGATGAGGGGGGGCCCTCAAGGAGGCGGAGAGGGAGTTGGAAGGACAGGACCGCGGGGCCTCCCAGGGGGTCCCAAGAGAGAGAAAGGGCCGAGACAACTCGCCGGGGCGGGGCATGAGTGCAGCGGGTTCCTGAGCGCTTCCTATAGGCCAGGCGCTGGGCCGCTTCGGCTATAAGTGCCAAAGATCGAGGCGGGAAGTTGAGAAATAACGCCTAGGGCCTCTGAAAATCGAGCAGCCCTGAGCGGTCGGACCCACCCCCTAAGTTATTGCACTGTCGTGCCCTCTGAGCCGAGCGGAGCCGGGGCTACCGGCGGATAAGGGGCGGGGCCTGCGCCCAGCCGACCGCAGCCCCGCAGGGTCAGACCTTCGGCCCAGAAGCCGCGGGTCCCCCGTGGGGAGAGGAAGGGCCCGACCCCCGCCCAGCGCGCACGCGCAGCGCCTCACCTGCCTGCTGGCGCTCCGCGCCCCCTCAGGAAGTGCGGGCCTCAGTGGAGCGCGGAGGAAGTGCCGGAGGCGGGGGAGAGAGGAGTGCGGGGAGGCGACGGCTAGGGGTGCTGGGGTTCCTGTCATATGACCCCTCCCCTCGGCTCTCTCGCAGCCCCGCCGGGAGTGGCGGGAGCCAGTCGGAGGACGGTCTCTAGGTCCCTTGTCCCCAGGTGAGCTGGGTGCAGAGTGAGGGGAGGGGGGATCGTGAGGGGGTGGAAGAGAGAACTGAGGCCGAGGAGCTGCTGGCAGCTGGCGGGGAAGGGGTGAGAACCGCTGCTGAGGGGCAGAGGGGTCCCTTCCTTCCTTTCCCACGGCCGGGGCTGTAGCCACGCTTCCCCATTTGGGTTCCATGGGGGGCCGGGGTGGACCCAGTCCCGGGATCTGGACCACCAGGTAGAAGACAAGAGGAGGTCCCAACACGTCCAGGTTCGAGGTGTTGCAGTATGCTGAATCCAGGGAACTGCTGGGGTTTGCGGCAGAGAGGTCTTCCCAATGGGAGAATCGGCACGTGGAATTGTCCCTTGCCAGGGGGCGATGGGGAAGGGCTGCGGCCGCTGGTAACCGGTTGCGGTGGGGCAGAGCGGGCCTTGGGCTCCACCGCACTTAACTGTGCCCACACCTGGCCTTGGCTTTGTTTGTGACGTCCCATCTTTCCGAGCCCTTTGGACCTTTCTCCCCGTCTGACAGATGGGGAAACTGAGGCCATACGTTGCTTTGAGATGTGGCCGGAGACTGAGCCAGATCTCCTCCAACAGCATCCCCTCCCAGGAGGGGGAAGCGTTACAACCCCAACTTCAACCCCATCACAGAGATGCTGAGGCAGTGGTCGGTGCAGGCCTCAGGGGAGCCAGAACCTGAGCCGGCCGGCGAGGAGCTGTGGGAGCAGGAGATGGAGCGGCTGTGCTCCTCCCAGGAACCTGTGCGGGTGCTGCCCTACGCCATGGTGGACAAGCGCTTCATCCGGTGGGTGCCCGAACACCCTGCCGAACACAGCGGAGGAGGAGCAGTGGGGGTGGGGAGAGGATGCAACTGTTGGTTGGGGGGGGTGGAAATCACCAGCAGTGGGAAGACTCCCTGGCCCAGGGTGCTGCTCTGCCTGGCCAGGTGGGCATGCTGGGTGACTCAGGGACCCCTCCCATCACCACCCCGTCCCAGGCAGCTGCGGGAGCCTGAGGGGGTGAAGACCTCGTGCTGGCAGCAGTGGCGTCGCAGGCAGCAGACTGCAGGACGGCGCCTGGGGGAGGCAGCACGGCGGCTGGCCCGGGGCTGTGGTCTCTGGGAGGGGGCTCTCTACGAGATCGGGGGTAGGACCCGAACCCCAATCCCCACTTCCTGCCTCCCCTCTCTGGAGTCTCAATGTCTAGTTTGGAAACCAGAGGAGGGCATTATCCCCCTGGCCATTGTACCCCTCCACCCCCACCAACCCACCCCGCCTTCCTCACACATCCCTCTCTGCCCCCAGAGCCACCCTTCAAACCTTGGTGGGTGATGGCACCCCTGGTGGCTGTTAGAGGTACTGCTAGGCCAGCCTCCAGAACTGGCCGTTACACTGAGGTCCCTGTGAGGCTGCTCACCCACACCCCACAACCCTCAGATTATCAGCTGGGCCCACGGCTCGGCGCCTCCGGACCCACCTGCTGTTCCCCGCAGGCCTCTTTGGCACCGGAATCCAGTCCTACTTCACCTTCCTTCGCTTCCTGCTGCTGCTTAACCTCCTGACCCTTCTTCTGACCACCAGCTTCGTCCTGCTGCCCCTGACCTGGCTCCGCCCCCCTGACAGAGGACCTGCTCTGAACTTCAGTGAGTGCCTGGCCCACGGAGGGAACAGTGCCCCCCGAGCCCACCTGAACCCTGTGGGGCCTGGTCCACTGGGACAGCCCCAACCCTCTGTGTCCAAACCCTGGGCATCGTCCTGCTTGGGTCCAGCCATGAGGCTCTACTCGATCTCGCCTTTTGCATAACAGGCCTCCTGACATGCCCTCATGACCCTGCTCAGGCCTCCTGATATTGGAGGTTTTGGAGTGAGAGGGGCAGAGTCTCACCTATGCCTTGGGGACCCTTCCCTATTGGACCCCTCTCCCTCCTCGACAGCCCTCCAGTGTCCTGGTGGCCACCAACCCCAGACTGGTGTTCCCAAGTTCAACAATCTACTTTGGAATGTTTTAACCGGCAGGGTGAGTGAGTCTGTACTGGCTGTGGACCAGGGAGGCTGGGGAACCTGGTGATCTAGCCTCAGGGAACCCCAGTCTAAGAGGACCCTCACCCCTCCAAGGGCACGTTGGCTTCTAGGGAGACGGTCCTCCACAGACAGGCTGGCTGGGTCAGCAGTGGGGTCAGAGAGAGGCTGAGGCCACTGTGCACAGCCCAGGCCCATGGACATGTGCCCACGGCCCTCAGAGCCCAGCTGGGGTCGGGGTTTGAAGGACAAGAAGGGAAAAAGTGTCCAGGATTCTGGGATAAGCACCACCCTACCCTCATCCCTGGAAGCCACTGGGTGGTTACCGTGCGGGCTCCCGTGTTCCAGTCCTGGCTCTTCTTCCAAGCTGTGTGTCCTTAGGCAAGTTGCCCAACCCTTCTGAGCCTCTGTGAAATGGGGATACTCTTATTCTCTACCTGATGGGGTCACTGTGAGGGCTAATGTGTTAACAGCAAGAAAACACTTAGCACACAGCCTGGCTCACTTGTCATCGTCTGACATCCCCAGGCCTTCAACAACACCTATCTCTTTTACGGCGCGTACCGAGCGGGGCCTGAGAGCAGCTCAATATACAGCATCCGCCTGGCCTACTTACTGAGCCCACTGGCCTGCCTGCTCCTCTGCTTCTGTGGGATTCTACGGCGGTGAGAGCAGAGCCCCTGCCTCCACCCCTTTCCAGGGGGTCTTCCCTGATCACCCCTGCTTGGCGTGGTACCCCCAAGCTGGCAGGGAGTCCCTGCCAATGGAGGTTCCAGGGCCGGAACTCTGCATCCCCAGCTGCAGACCTCAGGAGCGGGGCCACCGCTCCTGTGTCCCCACCCCCCCCACCCAGGCCGAGGCCAAAGGCTGCACTTAGGGCTGCCTGGGACTTCCCATCCCAGATCAGAGCCGAGCCGAGGCTGAGCCCTGGCCTCTGCCCCCTCCAGGATGGTGAAGGGGCTGCCACAGAAGATGTTCCTGGGCCAGGACTACAGGTCACCTCTCAGCGCCAAGGTCTTCTCTTCCTGGGACTTCTGCATCCAGGGGCAGGAGGCAGCCACCATCAAGAAGCATGAGATCAGCAACGAGTTCAAGGTGTGTGTGAGGATGTGCATGAGTGTGAGTTCTGAGAGGACTGTATGAGTGTGTGGCTTGAGTGTGGGAGTGTGTCTGTGTGTGTGTGTGTGCGCACACGGTTTTCCAGCTGGAGGCGGGGGCTGTGCCGTGTCTGGGTGTGAGCGCTCACCTGCACGGTACTCTGGGGGTGCCCTGGACAAAACCAGCCCGTCTGTCCCCGCCTCAGCGTCACCCCAACCTTGCCTAGAGCCTGGCAGCCTTTCTCCCCACGCACACCGACCTGGGGCTGTTTGCCAGCCCCCTCCCCTTCCACCTGGGCCAGCCGTAACCCACCTGTGCCCCTGCCCCTGCCCCCATGACAGGTGGAGCTGGAGGAGGGGCGTCACTTGCTGATGGTGCAGCATCAGACCCGGGCTCAGAGGGCCTGCCACCTGCTCACCTACCTGCGGGTCAACATCCTCATCGGGCTCCTGGTGGTTGGGGCCATCAGTGCTATCTTCTGGGCCACCAAGTACTCGCAGGACAACAAGGAGGTGCCAGGCGACTGACACGCATTTATTTAATCCTGGCCAGACCTGGGGGAGGAGACGGGATGGTTCCACTTTGCAGAAGAGGAAACCGAGGCTCACAGAGGTTAAAGCAATTTGCCCAAAGTCATAACCAAGTCAGACAGGCTCTACCTGTGGATACCCCCTGCTGCCACTGGGAATAATCCGTGGGCTTCCAGATTCCGGGCCTGCACCAGAGTTACACCTGAAGGGGGTCATAGGGGATGGGGGAGCCGCTGGGGGCCCTCCAGCCCGCGGCACCCCCTTATCCACTTCTCCCCACAGGAGTCCCTGTTTCTGCTGCTCCAGTACCTGCCCCCTGGGGTCATCGCCCTGGTCAACTTTCTGGGTCCCCTGCTGTTTGTTTTCCTGGTCCAGCTGGAAAACTACCCTCCCAACACTGAGGTCAACCTCACCCTTATCTGGTGAGTGACACCTGGGGGGGTGACAGGTGGGACGGAGTGTGGAGGGCATGGAAGGGCTGTGTCCTGCCGCCTGTCTTGGTTATCACCTGGCATCAGGAGTCCCGTGCAAGGGAAAGCAGGCAGCTGCTCCCACACACAGTCTGGCGGGCCCCGGTCTAAGGTTCTCCAGTCCCCACCATCCAAAGCAAGCCAGTGACTGTTTTTGCCAGGGCACGTTGGGTACCACAGTTACCTACCTAGGAACACAGCTCCCTCCCATGTGCCCTGAGGGTTTACACCCCTCACCTTGACACCCTCACGTGACCTGTGAAGTTAGGACCATCCTCACTGCCACTGGATAGATGAGGACACTGAGGTTTGAAAGGGTCAAGCGCCTTGGCCAAGGGAGGCTCCCCATGCCTTCTGGGTGCAGGTTCAAACTCAAGCTGTCCTCTGCCCCCAGGCTCTGCTCTGTCTCCTCTCCCAGGACTCAGGTCCTGCCTTGGACCCACCCACCCACAGGACCCCACACACACAACAGCTCCAGCCCAGGTTCTCTTTCCGTCTGCCACCCACCCCTCACTTGGCAGGGTCTGCTTTTCCTTGGGCTTCCCTGGCACAGAAGCTGTCCGGAGCCCATTCTGCGTATCTACCCATTCCGAGGTAGATTGTGTTTGCTTTGAAATTTTATTTTTGGAATGGGTAATAGCACGTGCACATGGTAAAAAAAAAAATTCAAAATGCTCAAAAGGATGGAAGATAAAAATAAGCCCCCACCACCCCTGCCTTCCTCAACACAAGAACCACTGTTCCCAGCCAGGCTCCGGCCGTGTATCAGCCTTGAAAGTCCACACTTTATGGGATTTCCCTGGCGGTCCAGTGGTTAAGACTCCGTGCTTCCAATGCAGAGGGCGCGGGTTCGATCCCTGGTCGGGGCACTAAGATCCCACGTGCTGTGAAGTATGGACAAAAAGTAAAAAAAAAAAAAAAAAAGAAAGTCCACACTTTGATATAACGTGCAGGCAATCGTTTGGGGTTAGGCCACCCTACCTGTGTGATCCAGTTACATATTATTCAGGAGTATGCATGCACGTGTTTGTGATATATGGACAGTGTAAACGGACTAGGGCATTAATAGGCCTTAGAAGAGAGAGCTCACCTGCATTTATGATATAAAAGCACGTATGTGCCTGTGAATCTCCAAGCTGGGTGTGGGGGGAGGATGGCTGGACTGCCGTGTTTCCCAAACTGATGTAAACAGAACCTTTCTCCTGTGAATCATCTGGAGACCAAGATTCTAGGGAACGCACGTTGGGAAATATTGCCACGCATGGAGCAGTTTGGAAGGAGGCTGGGCTCTGGGTTTCGAGGGGGCTGGGCCCGGGAGAGACTTGAGCTCATGCAGATGTCAGCCACACCTGTGTCCCGAGTAGATGTGCCATGTACCTGGGCTCCTCCCCTGACACAGTCCCCGCCCCCTCCCCTAACCCCCAGGTGTGTGGTGCTGAAGCTGGCCAGCCTGGGAATGTTCTCCTTCTCGCTGGGGCAGACTTTGCTGCGCTTTGGCAGAAACAAGACCAGCTGTGAGTCCTACGGCTACAACGCATGTGACTACCAGGTGGCCGGTGACTCCATCAGGGCCTGTCCCTCCTGTCCTCTGCAAAGCCCCACCTCTTTGATCTCCTCGTCCTTCTCAGGGTCTCACCTTTGTGAGAGGCTGTGGGCAGAGTTGCCCACCCAGCAGTCACCTCCAGGGGGCGCCATTCACATTACATTCTGCGCTGTGCAGAGAGGCAGCCCAGACTGTGGGCTTTGTCTGCTGAAATCTTATCCCAGGCCCGGGTTTTAACTTAGCAATCATATCAGACTCCAGGCAAGGCTCCTAGACCACAGAGTCCCCCAACGGGTGGGTGAGGGGCGGTTGGGGACCGAGGGTAGTGACAGATGCCCCCTCTGACCAGTGCTGGGAGAACTCGGTGGGGGAGGAGCTGTACAAACTCAGCATCTTCAACTTCCTCCTCACGGTGGCCTTCACCTTCCTTGTCAGCCTGCCTAGGAGGTGAGCCACGTGGGGACACTACGGGGGTGGAGTGGGCGTGTCTCGGAGTGGCCAGTGGCCACAGCCAGGGGTGAGCACTTCTACATGCCTGTTACCGTGTGAGTGTGTTATGGTCCACAGCCAGGACCAACGAGGTCCACACACTTCTGGGTGGTGGGTACCTGGGCACTCCCCTCCCCCAGGCTGCTGGTGGAGCGGTTCTCGGGCCGGTTCTGGGCCTGGCTGGACCGGGAGGAGTTCCTGCTGCCCAAGAACGTGCTGGACATCGTGGAGGGACAGACAGTCACCTGGATGGGCCTCTTCTACTGCCCCCTGCTGCCCCTGCTTAACAGCATCTTCGTCTTCCTCACCTTCTACATCAAGAAGGTGAGGGCTCAGGGGCTGGGAGGGAGCAGGGCCGCACCTGTGTGGGCACCTCGAGCGCCATCAGCAGAGCAGCCCTCACCTCCTGCTGCTGCCCCGCCGGGCACCTCCCATCTGCACACTGCACTGAGGCCCCTGTGTCCTTGCTCGCTCCCTAGTACACCCTGCTGAGGAACTCCAGGGCGTCCCCTCGGCCATTCCGCGCCTCCAGCTCCATCTTCTTCTTCCAGCTGGTGCTCATCCTGGGCCTGCTCCTGGCCGCTGTGCCCCTGGGCTATGTGGTCAGCAGGTGAGGGGAGCAGACGGGCTGAGGCTGCCGGGCCGGCAGCTCGTCACCCGAGCACTGACACCGGCCCTCCTCTGGCGGTCTCTCCCCAGCATCCGCTCCTCCTGGGACTGTGGCCTCTTCACCAACTACTCAGCCCCCTGGCAGGTGGTCCCAGAGCTGGTGGCCCTCCGGCTCCCACCCCCTAGCCAGCGCATCCTCCACTACCTGGGCTCCCACGCCTTCAGCTTCCCCCTCCTCATCCTGCTCAGGTGCCTTTCAGGGCAGCAGGGGCCGAGGGAGGGGGCACCCCCAGCCAGTCTCATGGGATCTGGGGGCCAGACAAGGAGAGCCCAAGGTCGCAGGGAGCCAGGGGCCCAAGGGCAGGTGTCCTGGGGGTTGCCCTGTGCCCCTGGGCAGCCCCTGAAGGCCCTCACCTGTAAAGCGGGCACTTTAAGTGACCACTGGCGAAGCACGTTGCCCGGTGCAGACACGCTATGAGCCTGCCGCGCTTGTTATTCTTACTACCATTTAGAGGAGAGGGACTGAGCGACCAGTGGGAGGAAGGAGAGGAGAGAGAAAGCGGTGTCTAGGAACCTGGAAGAGAGAAGACCCCGGGAGGTGGTTTTTAAGAGACTGGGGTGGGGAAGGAGGAAGTAGGGGGCTGACTGACCTAGCATCCCCGTCTATCCAAAGCCTTGTCCTGACCGTGTGCGTCTCCCAGTCCCAGGCCAGCGCGAGGGCCATCCGGGGGCTCCGGAAGCAACTGGTGTGGGTGAGTGTCCGCCGGACTGGGGAGGGGTCACGGACTCCGGGCAAGACCCTGTCGGGAGTGTGGCCTCAGGCCGCGGATAGAAGCGGGGAAGGTGGAGGGAGGGAACCGGTGCCTCCGGCCGGGAACCAGTCAACAGGAATGTGGCTTTAGGCTTGGGGACCCGGTTTAATGGGAGTGTGGGCTTGGGCTGAAGTAGGAGGTGAAACTGGCGGGGGCGTGGTCTCTGGCTAGGCTGGGGCGGGACCTGATGGGGCGTGGCCTTGGGCTGGGGCGGGATTGGGAGGGGCGTGGTCTCTGGCCCGGCGGGGCGGGTCTAGGGATAGGGCGGGAGATTGGTGGGGCGGGGCCGCAGCGGGGGCGGGGAGGGGAAACTCTGGTGGGGCGGGGCCTCGGGGCTGCTACAGCGAGGTGGCCGCTTCTCCCGCGGCAGCTGGTGAGAGGAGGCGCCGCTCGTAAACCGGCTGCTCGCTCCCCTCTTCCGCCCCAGCAAGTGCAGGAGAAGTGGCACCTGGTGGATGACCTGTCGCGGCTGATGTCGGAGCCGGGCTCCGGCGACTCTCTGGGGCCTGAGTCCCCTCACTCCCGAGGTTCGCGCCCGAGATCCTTCTGCCCCGGATTCCCGTGCCCGGGCTCCCCGGGACCCAGGGCCCCCAGGCCGGAACCCTCCCTTGAGGATCCTGCCGGGTTGCGCGGTGTCCGGGTCCCCGCCCGTAGCTGCCGCTTCCCCAGCGGTTCGGAGCTGTAGCACCGACCCCCACCACCGCCCGGAGCTTCCCCAGGGCCCCGTGTGCAGCTCCCCACTTTCTGACCCCTCGCCCCACGCTCGTGACCCCAGGTGACCACCGCCTCTCTCAGTGGGCCCTCCAGCAGGGTGCCCCAAGGTGGGGTGCATATACCTAGGGGCATCAAGAAGAAAACATAGGAACTTGTATTTATATTTTTATGTCAATCCTTAAAAGTTTCTATTTTTGTTGAATGTTTTATAATATGCATAATATGTTAGTATAGTAACCCATGAATGCAGTTTATAAATACACATCCATTGGCAGTACTCAGGAATTGTTTATCCTGGGCAGTACCATTATAAAAGTCCAGAGACCTCCACCTGCGGGAAGGGGAAGGCCTGGCCGCAGTGAGAGCAAACAGTGGGGGCTTACTGTGCTCTGACTGCAGGCACCCTACACAACCTCCTGTGATTCCTCCTTCACGTGTGAGACCACTGAGACCCACAGACGTTATGAGTCAGCAAGGGGCAGAGCTCAGATCTGACCTGCATCAGGAGACACTCCGAGTGTGGGCCCCGGGAGGTAGCGGAGCCCGCTGCCCAGGAAGGCAGGGCTGCATCCAAGATTCCCAAGCCTCCGGTGCCGAGGCTGCAGAGGTTCTCAATCTGTGGTTCTCAGCCTTGGAGAACTCCTGAGAAGCCCCGTCAGATGCTGGCCCTGTGCCAGCGATTCTGACGCAATTGGTCCAGGTGCAGCCAGCAGCCAGACATCTGGACTTTCTAAAGCTCCCAGGTGACCCTCACCGGCAGCCAGGGTTGAGGATTGCTGGCCTAAAGAGCCGTCAGGAGGGAAGGTCAGGAGAAGCCCCAGGACGTGCTTGATGAGGCTCCACTTCCAGCAGCAGGAGGCCAGCGCCTGGCTGGATTCCCAGCCTGGACACGGCATCTGGGCGGCTCTGGCCCGGCGCCCTCAGTCCAGGGGCTTCACGTGGTCATTGCAGTCTTGGCTGGTTCAGCTACCTCCTGTCGCTGTCCCTCTCTCTCACTCACCCAGCATCACATGACCCATCCGCCTGTCAACAAGTGCCGGGCCCTGTTCTGGGGCTGGTGATGAGACTGCGGGAGACACGGGGAGCTACGTGCTCAGCTTGGGGAGGGCAACCAGTCTGGCCCCAAAGAAGGCGACACATGTTGTTAATTAGCAGCTTAGGGTCAACGTGTGGTCCCGGACCAGCAGCACCAACATCACCTGGGAACTTGTTAGAAAAGCCAGTTCTCAGGCCCCACCGCACCTCCTCTAAGGGTGGAGCCCAGCGACGTGGTTTAATGAGCCCCCGGGGGTGAGGCTGTTGGGTGCGAAGCGGGAGAACCTGCAGCACTGAGGCATCCAGGTCCTTCTCATCACCTTCACGTGCCTTCAGAGAACCCGCCAAGTGCATCACCGGATGTGAGGGGGACGAGCTTCGGGACCTTGAGGAACTCAAACTCGGGGCCTAGGTTTGCTTGACCAAAGCCTGGGGATGACACCGCCCTCCTCTGCGTGGTTGTGAGGATTGAATGAGCAGTTACTTATATAGTGTCCTTCCTAGGAGAGCAGTTGAGGCCCTATTACAACATGGTCATTGGCCTAAAGGAGCAAAGTGGGAGAGATGGGAAGGGGCCCAGATGGCCCTGTGACCGTGCCGGCCCAGCGAGGCAACCTGGGGCTCAGGGGGGAGCCATCGCAGTCAGCAGGAGGGATTCGTGGAGTGGGCGACTAGCGGGGCCTTGGGGGACGGAGGACTCGACAGGAGGTGAAGGCAGAGGAATGGCCTGAGCCATGGTGTAGAGACGGGCCGGGCGGGCCTGAGCTGTGGAAACTGGGACTCTGAGGCCTCTAGACTGGGCTCTGGGGCCCACGAGGACAACCAGAGTGAAGGCGGAACCAGCACACCTATGGCTGGGCTTGGAGAGCCCGGGGGTCCGGTAACGTTGAGTGTCTACCAGCAGCAAAGAAGACACACGTGGGCAGGGAGAGGCCCGTGGGGTTATTGCAGTAAGTGAAGCCAGGGTCTCTCCAGGCGCAGGAGCCCCAGTGCCTCCACCTTGGGGGGGGGGGTCCCGGACTCTCCCCACCCAGTCCTGAGAGGGCTCCCAGCTACTCTGGCCAAGGCAGCCCAGCACAGATTCCCACCCAGGGGACCCTCCCAGGAAAGTGACGCAAGGAGGTGCTGGTAAGGCCATTTATCATAGAGGAGACTGGCCCTCGGTGGGCAGGAATCACGAAATGTCAGTCTAGTGGGTGACAGGAGAGCTTTGAGGACACCCTGACTCCGCTCCATCTAGGTGACCTGGGCTCACCTGGGGCAACCTACTCAGTGCTGTCACACCTGCAGCCTGTGGAGAAGAAGGGCAGAACAGCTCAGAGAAGCAGCCCTCATTTGATGGGGCACACAGGTGATGGCTGGAGAGGGGTAGTCGGGGTGAGGCAGTAGAGATGCCCCCGGTCCCACCAAGGCCTGGGGGAATTGTCCCTCGAGTCCACCCACCATTCTCTGCTCTGACTCTGGCTCCCCAGACACGCCGATACAAGGGGGAGGCTTCTCACGAGCTGCCTCAGCTCGAATCAGAAGCCCTGAGCACAACGTAGAAGAAAAACCTCGAGCTTCTGTGACTTCAGGCAACAGATTGCCCACAGCTGAGGGGACCCTTCTGATTGCCTTCAGTCGTCAGTTCCTTCCACACACCCCTCCCGGCAGAGTGAGAACAGACTTTCTGGAAGAGAATTTCGCTAGGAAAACTAAGAGAAGATTAGCTTTTGCCCAAATGCAGAGAGGTAGGTGGGTCCCCAGAGCACATCCCCAGGGGTACGAGTCAGGACTCTGGGTGGCAAGGGACAGATGCTGATTCTTGCCCACTGAGGAGAAGGGACCACCGAGGTGACAAAGCTAGTCCTCAGGGGAGCTCCAGGACACTGTGCCCAGGCTTGGGCAGGGTCATCCCACCAGACCAGCTTCCCAACACGCCCAGGCCTCAGTGGGTGCCCCTGAGCCGGGCCTAGGGGCCCCAGGGCAGGGCTGTAACTGGCCTGCCTTGGGTCAGGTGCCGGTTCCCGGGCTGTGCTGGGGATGTGAGTGCCACTGACCTGTGAGGCTCTGTAGGAGAGAAGAGCCCGCACAGGAAGCAAATTGTTCCCTGGGGGTGGGACATCCTCCCTGAGGAAGGCACCTGTGTACAAATCAAAGCTCCACGTTCTGTGATAGCAGGAGAAAAACACATATGCAGCTGTGTCAGTGTAGAAACAGGGAGTGTTTCAATAAAGTCACTTCATTCATTAAAAAAAAAAAAAGCCTCTGTGGGATTGGATGGGTCCTAGTCCCACCTTACCTGCTCCCTCTCTTCTCTCTGCCCTGAGCCCCCAGCCCTGAGGGGTCCAACCCACCAGTTCTTCAGAAGGACCCTCATGATTACCTCAGGCCCACCTCTGGGATAATCCTCTCATCTCAAAATCAGTGGGTTAGCAAGCTTAATTCCCCCTTGCTGGCTACCAGTGCCTCCACCTTGGGGTGGGGGGGTCCCGGTGAGGACTCCAGGGTGAGGACACGGACATCTTCTACCCTGGGGTCCTACAGCTCGGCAGTGGCGGCGACTGTGAGCCCTGGTTTTGCCCCTGGCCCCTCCTAACTCCCTGGGGGTGTGGGGAGAGGCGCTGTCCCGGGCCCAGCCCTGGGGCGCTGTGGCATCCCGGTTATCTCCCCGCTGCAGGCACGCACCCACCCAGGGGGCACCCAGAGGCTCTGGAGTGGAGGTGGCCTCGCTCGAGGGAGCTCTTGCTCTCCTGGCTGAGGGTCCCACGCGGCAGAGGCATGAGAGTCCTGCGGCTGCTCTGCTTGGCTGCGCTAGGTGAGCTGCCCAGGGACATGGTGGGAGGGGGCCGCTGCCAGGGCCTTGAGGTGGCAGACTCAGGGTCCAGGGGTCTAGGGAGCACAGGAGACACCTCTGGAAGCACAGGACAGAGAGGGGAAGGTTTAGGCTTGAGTCTCAGAGCAACTAGTTATTGCGTCACCACTCTGGGCCCACTCTACCCATCTGCGGAATGGGCTGATGGTACGAAATGCTCCGGGCGCCAAAGAGCTTCTGTGAGTGAAGTTGCTTGTGGAGTCCTGGGCCTCCTTCTGGGCTCAGGACGAGGCTCTCTGGGTGGGCTCTGGCCTCCCCTCCACCCTGGGCTCTCCTAACCGCCCTCCCCTCTCTTACAGCCACCAGCAGCTCCGCGAAGCAGGAGAAAGGTGAGTTTCCCAGCATGCTGGAGGGCGGAGTACCCCCAGATGGGGACCCTGGAGTCAGAGGCCCCACCCAGGGTAGAGGCCTTGGCCGGCCGGGGGAAGGGTGTTGCGGGAGAGTGGCATCTGCTGCTAGACCACTGGAAGGTTCTGGACCCCAGCCTCAACCCCTGCAGGGCCCTAGAGGGTTGGAGAAGAGAAAGCTCTGCAGGAGGTGGGAGTGGACGGGACAACAGGCAGCCGGTGGGGACAGTGACGTGGGGGCAAGGAAAGTGCTTGGCTTCCCCTTGGGCTGTGTGTGGTGGGGGGGCGGGTATTACCAGCGGAGGCGGGCAGAGGGCGTGTCCCGGGCAGGTGTACCCCAATCACTCTGAGTGCCTGATCTGTAGCAGAAGCCCCTCGGGGTGGGTGTGACCCCAGGGCAGGCTGGGGGCATTCTGGTGGGGTGCCTTGGCCCAGGAGGAGGGCGAGTGAGAGAATGAGGAAGTCTGGGCTCCCCCGACTCCCCGCTCCCTGAGGTCCAGCAAAGGGGAAACTGCCTGACTCTCAGAGGCAACAGGAAGGTGTCAGGGCCCCTCTCTCCACCAGCCGCCTGGTGTAAGAGCCGGTGAGAGGGGAGGCTCCCGGTGGCTGTACCTCCTACCCTCAGCTTTGGCCGCCTCCGTCTTTCCACTCCCCTTCCTTCTCCTGCCCTCTCCCCTGCCCCCATTTCCGACCCTGTGACCCTTAAAGTCAAGGTGGTCAGTCACCTCCTCCTCTCCACATCTCTGCAAGGGCGGCTGCCCTTCCTCTGGTCTCGTCTGGACCTGTAACTTCCCTGGTCTCAGGGCTGCAGGTGCAGCCGCCTCTATTCCACTTAAGGGTGGACCTCACTTGAGTGCCGCACGGGCTGAACTATCATTTCCTTATTTGCTTTAAAAACAAACACAGCATGGTGTTTCCGCTAAAAGGAGAACAGCGCAGGGCCCTGGCCTCTGGGTCTCCGGGAAGTACCTGGGCAGGGCCGGTCCACCCCCTTCCGGCCCCTGACTTCTGCTCAGACTCTTGCCCAGCAAGTCCTGCTAACTAAACTCCTAAGGAGCCGACTGACAAATCATTCATTCATTCATTTATCCAATCATTCAGTAATTACTGGTTGAGCATCTCTTTGGTGCCAGGTGCTGCTTGAGGCCCCAGGATGGTGGGTGCAGAAACAAAACAGAGATCCCTGCCCTCACGTACCTTACATTCTAGTGGGGCCGGAGGGACAGATGATAATAAAAATAAGCACATTCTACAGCGTGCTAGAACGTGATAGGTCCCAGAGAACAGCAAGCAGGGAAGAGGGGAAGGGAACATGGGTTGGGGGTGGGGAGGGAGGGCACCATCTACTGGGAAGTCATCACTGAGAAGGGGACACGCCAGCAAGGACACGAAGGAGGTGGTAGAGCAGGATGTGCCTGGACAAGGGCCTGCGTGGCCAGAGCACAGGAAGCAGGGGCAGGGGAGTGTTGGATGAGGTGGGGGGGGCAGTGTTGAGTAGGGGGGGACCCTGTGGGCATAACAATGGGAGGGTTTACAGCAGAAGGGTTGACCTGATTTACTCTTCCTGGGGTCATTTTGGCTGCTGTGTTGAGAAGAGATGGGGTGGGGATGAAGGGTAGAATCCCAGAGAGCCTTTAGACTGTTCCCGGGATCCAGAGGAGAGATTGGGTGATAGCCAGGAGGCCTGGCAAGGTGGTCAAGGTATATTCTGAAGGCCTTTGCTGATAGATGGGATGGGATGGGAAAGACAGAGCTGTGGAAGATGACTCGGGGGGTTTTGGTCTGAGCAGCTGGGAACTGGCGAAGTCAAGGGCAGCCTTACAACTGATTACTACTAATGGGAACGAGAGGTTGGGCCTGAGATATTGGGTGTTAAGAGCCAAGATTTTGGAACGTTTCTCTCTGTGTATTTTGAAATCCCCAAGAATCATGGCAAGTGCAGTATTGAGTGTAGCAGGAACCAGGCACAAGAATCTTCAAGGGATGGTGGGCATTTCTAGGTAACTGTAACCCAGAGGGGCAGGGTGCAGTGTCTGAAGACATGAGGTTCAAGTCTGCTGTTTAGGGAGGGAGGAGGGAGAGTGGTCCAGGAATAGCAAGAGGATGCCCGCCCTCGCCATCCCACGCCAGTGTTGGGAAGGCTGTGAGGACCCCCCCGCCACCTGAAATACCACTGGTGCAGGCACTGCGCGGGGGAGGGGAGGCTGGTTTCCATTAGGTGTAGAAGGTGAGATGTGAGAGGAAAGCTTGAGGGTTCCGGGATTTGGTGCCAACTGAGCCTACCAGCCTTCCAGAGGGCGCAGGGGGAGGTGGGACGTAAAGGGAGACTTTCAGAGCCCTAGAAAAGGTGGGGCAGGAAGATGAGGGTGACCTGGGAGCCTGGGGTCTCCCGTGGGGCTGCCATGAAAGAAGACAATGTTCGGGGTGGGGGCTGGGGAGCGGCCGGTTGAAGGACAGATTCAGAGTGCGAGTGCGTACAAAGGAATCTTGATAACTGTCCCCTCCCCCTCACTCCTGAAACCCGCTTCACTTGTAAGGGGGCTGTGCTAGTTTCCTGGGGCTGCTCTAATGAAGTACCACACAGAAATTGATTCTCTCCTGGTTCTGGAGGCTTCATCTGAAGCCTCACCTGCGGGCTGTGGTAGTCCTTGGCGTTCCCTGGCTTGTGACAGCATCACTCCAAACTGCCTCTGTCTTTACATGGCCTGTGTGTGTGTGTGTCTTTGTCTCTTCTCTTTAGGGCCCACCCTAATCCAGCATGGGTTACTGAAGTCCATCTGTAAGGACCCCATTTCCAAATAAGGTCCCATTCACAAGTACCTGGGGTTAAGGCTTGAATACATCTTCCTTTTTGGAGGACACAATTCAACTCTCAACAGATGGGCTGCTTGTTCAACCCTCATCAGATCCCTGGGCCCGAGCTCAGGTCTAATGAATTGGGCCTCCAGGGTTGGGACTCCAATCTCCAAGCTTCTGGGTTATCACAGAAACAAGCTAGGGAGAGGTAGGGGCGATCCTGAAGGGCCTCCAAGCCCAGCTGGACGGCAATCCACTGCCCAGCCTGGGCACAGCCCTAAGCCGCTCGCTCTTTCTTTAGTGACAGTGGGAGGCTCTGCACAGCCATTCAATCACCCCAGCCCTGGCCTGGCTCAGCTTCCGGTCCCCAGGGTGTCCTTGTCGCTTCATCAAATTCTGAGTGTGCCATCCTATCTTCAAATGTTCAGACACAGATGACGAATTTGTAATTAAATGATAGACCCCTCGTTATGGGTGGGCTAGATGCATAAACTAAATAATCAAAAGGAAAGACCCACACAAGTCTTGTTAGAATAAAAACTGAGTGCTCTACCCTGTAGGGCACTAAAAAAGAAAGTGGCTCCTGTCTGTGAACTTATGTAAATCAGGCTTCTATTAATGGCCATCGAAATGGAAATGAAGGTGGGCCAGCTTTTTCTTTCCATTTTTGTTAAGTCAAGGTCATTTCCCCACAGTGAAGGGAGCAAAAGTGTCATCACCCTGAAGCCTGGACCCACATTTCCCCGGGGGGGGGGGGGGGGGGGGAAGATTCTGGCCCCAAGAGCCGTTGACTGTTGGGCCCCAGAGTCACGTTGACGAAATTGTTGGTAGCAGTTTGCAAACTGGCGCCCCGGAGAGTAGATTAAACTCTAGATAGAGCTTTACTTAACTTCAAAGATTTTGCATGAAGGAGTGTTTGAAAAAAAAAAATAGTATGAGGGCTTCCCTGGTGGCGCAGAGAGTCCGCCTGCCGATGCTGGGGACGCGGGTTCATTCCCCGGTCTGGGAGGATCCCACATGCTGCGGAGTGGCTGAGCCCGTGGGCCATGGCCGCTGAGCCTGCGCGTCCGGAGCCTGTGCTCCGCAACGGGAGAGGCCGCAGCAGTGAGAGGTCCGCGTACCGCAAAAAAAAAAAAAAAAAAAAAAAAAAAATTCTGGGTATTTCACATGAATAGAATCATACAATATGTGGCCTTTCGTGTCTGATGTATTTCATTCAGCATAATGTGTTTTTCTGGTTTTTAAATTTTATTTATTTATTTATTTGGCTATGTTGGGTCTTTGTTTCTGCGTTAGGGCTTTCTCTAGTTGTGGCAAGTGGGGGCCACTCTTCATCGCGGTGCACGGGCCTCTCACTATCGCGGCCTCTCTTGTTGCGGAGCACAGGCTCCAGACGCGCAGGCTCAGTAGTTGTGGCTCACGGGCCTAGTTGCTCTGCGGCATGTGGGATCTTCCCAGACCAGGGCTTGAACCCGTGTCCCCTGCATTAGCAGGCAGATTCTCAACCACTGCGCCACCAGGGAAGCCGCAGCATAATGTTTTTAAGGTTCATCCATGTTGTAGCAGGTGTCAGTGCTTCATTCCTTTTTATGGATGAATACTCTTCCGTCATGTGGATGGACCACATTTTGTTTATCCATCATCCATTGATGGACATCTGGGCTGTTTCCACCTTTTGGCTGTTGTGAATAGTGCTGCTGTGAACATGTGTGTACAAGTATCTGTTAGCGTCCCTGTTTTCAATTCTTTTGGTATATAGCTAGGAGTGGAATTGCTGGGTCATGTGGTAATTCTTTAACTTTTTGAGGAATTGCATTTTCTTAAGGTGCTTGTTAAATGTTGGTCTCCTTCTTCCTCTTTGGACTGTCTCATCTTTAAGAGACTGCCTAAATTTTATTCATTGTTAATCTGAATTCAAAATTAACTGGGTGTCCTGTATTTTTAGCTGCTAAGTCTGGCAACCCAGATTATACCACATGAAAATAAAACCAAATACATGTATGAAATTGTATGGTATACACTGCAAGTAGGGTAGACGCTCAGACGCGAGGCGGAGGGAGCAATCCAGAAGGCTGCCTGGAGGAGCAATCAGTCAGTTAGGCCACTAGGCTCATTAGGCATGTGTACTGAGGGAACTGGCTAGGGGGAGGGCATTAAAGTCTCCCAGCCACACCTGTGCTCCCGCCCTCTCCCACCCTGCCAGAGCCGGTGTCCCAGCTGCAAGCTGACTTCACCCTGTTGGACAGGGGGTCAGGCCTCAGGGTAGAGGTGTTCTGCCAGGCATCCTCGGGCAGCCCACCCATCACCTACAGACTGGTCAGGAGGAACGGGCATATCCACATGCAGCAGACTCGGAACACTGGGCAGCCAGCCAACTTCTCCTTCCCACTGAACCAGACATCGGACTGGTTCCGGTGCCAGGCTGAAAACAACATCAGCGTCCAGCACACTCCCTTTACACTGGTGCCCCCAGGTGAGAGGGCCCCTTGGTTTCCAGAGGGGCAGCTGGCGCTTCTGAGTAGGTCAGCGGGAGGTGCCAAGAGCAGGGACGGGTGCCCTGATGCAGCCCTGCCTACCCTGGCCTGGCCTAACGGAAGTCCAGCCCAGCTGTCCCCCGCCTCCTTCACAGGAGAGCTGCCCCAGGGACCCACCTTCGTGCTGGCTGGCTGCCTCATCTCCATCATAGCCGTCTTTTCTTGGAAACTGAGCTGGACCAAGCAGATCAGGTAGGAAACGGGTGCTGGATGTGGGGGAGGAGTGAACTGCAGATGGCCTATGTGGACCAACGGGGGCCCTGGCTTGGCAGAGCCGGTGGTGGTTTGGTAGGGCAGGGCTGCCGTTGGAACCAAGCAGGACCCTATGGGGCTTTCCCAGGACAGACCCCTCCTCCATATCTTCTGCTGTAGCTCCTCTCTGAAGTACCCAGATAACAGTATCTCAGGCATATTTCCTGAATTTTTCAGATGCTAAAACCCACGACCCAATGGAAGAAATTAACTACTTGATGATCATGGGTTCGTAGCCCAGGGGCCTTCTGGTGCCTAAGGATTGATAATGTTAACCTCTGTGACACCAACCAATCAGAGAATTGATCACATACCCTGCGGCTCCCCTCCCTCACCTGGCCAATAAAAGTGTTTTGCTGAAAGCCCGCGAGGAGTTCGGAATTTGGGGGGTCACGAGCGCCCCTGCCCCGTCCCCCTTGCATGGCCCCGCAGTAAAACTTTCTGTGCTCCAAACTCCAACATTTTGTTTTGTTTGGCTTCACAGTGTGTTGGGCACATGAACTTGCGTTCGGTAACACCACCAGGGCAAAGAAAGGGCCATATGGCTTATGCATGACTTGCAAAAGTTTACTTAGGGCCTACCGTGTGCCAGGTGCCCATGGAGCACGTTGGCAGCTTTATCTGACCCTGACCATGCTCTAGCCGCCTTGTCGTGGAGTCCACTGCCTCTGGGTGGGGCTCTCTCCAATACTCCCTATTGGTCTGAGGAGGATGGAGCCTCCGGGGCACCAGGGTGGGCCAGGGGCTTCTGCCCTCCATGGAAACCCCATCAGTCTTTCCAGCTGGTGACCGGACGCAGGGGCCGGACCTCCTGGGGTCCCCTCTCTAAGGCTATTACTTCACTGACTTGTAAAGTGACCACGGCCTTTGTGCTGTCCAACCCTGGGCACCGCAGGCCTCTGTGTGCCCCACCTGCCTGGCCTTCGGCAGCGGTCACCTCTGCCTCCGAACTTCTCACCTCCCCTCGTTCCTAAGACACTTCTGTCTCCTGGTCATCCTCCCCGCCCCTCTGGTACCAAAGCTGTCTCCCCAGAATCACACCCCTGTCCCTCCCTCGAAGAGAAACCAATTACTCTTATCTAAGTTTCAGGAGGAAGCAGCAAACAGAAAAAAAACAAGAACCAATTAGAACCAACTAGGCTCAAGATGGCGGAGGATTCGACTTCCAATAGATCTAGAGCCTTACTACACGCTCTATACGTTAGCTAAATGACACACCCACCAGCACCAGGACAGCTGGCGATCACCATGATGACAACCAGAAAAGCCCCTATGAGAACTGAAAAGGAGAGTTGCATCAGTTCCAGGTCCAAACCACACCCCTGTTTTTGGATAACTCATGAATATTCTTCCCACTCATTCCAAACCCCTCCCTTTTACTCCAACCCTCCTATGTATTTGGTGTCTGAGTTGATTTGCAAACTAGGTTCCCGCTTCTCCATTCTTTGGCCATTGAAGAAAGCTGGTGCTCTTCCAGTCTCAGCATCCATTTTGTTACTGACTGAGCAAATCAAACCTCCCTGGGTGAGACAGGGGGTCTCAGTCCGAGCTAGGACCCCAGTGTGGGTTTGGTCGACCAATTCACTAACACCTGGCCAGCCTCTTTGGTGGGCTTTGTCCAGGAGTCCTTGGCACTCTCCTTGTCTTACCTCTGTGCCCCTCCCTCCCAAGTCTGTCCCAGAGGCTAGGCTCATGGGCGAGCCATGTCAGCTCTCTGAGCCTCAGTTTCCCCTTCTATAACAGGGGGTATACAGACCAGGGGCCAGTACTTGGCCTCCAGGTGATTCAGTGCCCCCACCTTATTTCGTGGTGTGACTAAGCCTCACGCCCCTCCTCCTGCCCAGGGCACTGATGCACTTGCCACCAATAAAATTCCTGGAGGCCTTGGGAGGGGGTGGCTGGGAGGTGTGCTGGCTTAACCTGAAGTCTCAACTCCTTTGTCATCAAGGTCGTGACCAGAAGATGCAGGCTGGGCAGAGTCCCCAGGAGAGCCCTGGTCCTTGTCCCCTATAGAAGGACCCACCATTTGAAGAAATGAAATGAAGAAAAGAATGAAGAAAAGCCCCACCAGCCTGGATTCTTGGAGCGCTGGTGTTCTTCATCAAATACTCATGGTGCTAGTTTGAGGGATTTAGGATGGGGGGAGCTGTAGGGGGAAGGAGAGGTCCATAGGAGGACGGGGCTCTGTGAGGGCCCCTCTCCTCACCGCTCAGCAGCTCGTCACCATCCATCCAGGTCTGGGGAGATGGTGGGGTAGATGTGAAGGCCCAGAGGCACCAGCCCACCCAGGGCCACTGCTTCCTCCCCCACCCCTGCTCCCCTCTTCCCTGGAGTGGCACCCCATCTCCTGGTGGCCCAGTCCTCTGGCTCCACTGCTGACCTGTCACCGTCCCATTCACCTGGAGGACTCTGGGCCCCACCTGGCCAGCACCCCCTCATTAATCCTTACCTGCAACTATGATGTCTGGAATTCCTCCCTGCCGAGTCAGCCTGAGGCCCCTGGAGAACCAGCCCCCCCTCCCCACCCACACACACCTAGAGCCATCCCAGTTTGGACGCTCTGAACCATTTCCGGAAAGAATGGTATTAAACTCTGCCCCCTGCCGGCCACCCTGGGAACTTCGTTTCTGTCTGCACACCATCTTGGAGCCTGGAAGTCGGCCCTACGCACGGCCCTACATGGCCCTGGGGCCGGGCCCGGCTCGGGAAAAACTGGGAGGGGCGGTGGTCTCGACCACATCCCAGGCTTAGCTCCAGAGAGGAGGAAAGAGTGACAGGCCATGCAGGGAGGGGTCCAGGCTGTGGCCTGGGGTTTGAGTAGAATGGGGGAGAAGAGAGGAGGTGCGTAGGAGCCTGCGTCTTGGGCAGATGGGGCCCAGACGGCGTCTGGCGGGGCTTCCTGGAGGCGGAGGCGGGAGTGCAGGGGCAAAGAGTGGATGGAGCCAGGGGGGCGGGCCCTCCTTGCGACCCTCTCTTCCTGGGGACTCTCTGGCCCTTTCCAGTCGCCCTGCGGACCAGCAGAGCAGAGGGACGAGACTCCGGCCGAGAGGTGGACTGGACAACGAGTCCGCGGCCGCTGGACGGATGTCGGCCGCTGGAAGCGCAGGCCGGGATGTCGGGGTAACCCTGCCGCTCCTGCGCGGCCGCTCGTCTTGGGCGGACTTTGCCCTCGGTCCCTGGGGCGGTGCTGGCCACGCCCCTGGGGAGGAGCCGGGCCGGGGGCGGGGCGGCGGGCTGGCTCCTCAGCAGTCCGCGGCTGCGGCGGCAGCGGCGGCGTCGGCGGCGGCTGAGACGGCTGCGACGGCGACATGGAGAGCGGGGCCTACGGCGCGGCCAAGGCGGGCGGCTCCTTCGACCTGAGGCGCTTCCTGACGCAGCCGCAGGTGGTGGTGCGCGCCGTGTGCTTGGTGAGCCGGGGTGCGGGGCCTCGGGGAACCGACTTCGTCGCCAGGCCGGGGGAGTGGGGCCGCTGCGAGCCTGAGAGCGCGACAGGTGGTAGCGGCCGAGGCCCGGGGGTGGGAGCGGCGCGCGTAGGGCGGGCGAGCGGGGCCCGGGACCCTCCAGCCCCTCACCCCCCGGGCCCCGCCGCCCCCCGAACCCGGGTCCCGCCACCCCCCACCTCCCAGCCCGGGCGCGGAATGGCCGGGCGGCACCGCGGGGAGCAGGCCCGTGGCCCTGCTGGCAGTGGGAGGAGTTTGAGGCGGCTCCAGGACAGGTGGCCGGCACGCCGCGACTCCCACCGTGGGGGAATTCATCAGGAAGGGGCTTTCCGAAGCCACGTGGGGTGCGTGGGGTTGGGGGGCAGCCTGGCGCCCTGAAATAGAGTCTCTCAAGAGCAGCCCATGGGTCTGCTTCCCCATCCAAGATCAGGTGACCCCGGGATGTTCCCCTCCATGTGAGCTGGATGAGCGCTCCAGTACCAGGTTACCGGGGGTGGGGCGTTGGTGGGAGGTCCCATGCTCTCGGACAACCAGAGACCAAAGCTGAACAAGCTGTTAGCCAGCCCGCAGGCAGAGGGCTGGGCATGCGGCGCCCACACCACACCTGCCCCTGCCTGGGACTGGAGCCCTACGCGTTGCCCTGGTGACACTCTCACCCCCGCTCTGCCTGACTGTGGGGTCTGACTCCAGGAGCAGATGCCCACGTTTCGGGATGGCAGTGCCAGGAGTCAGGCTGGCACAGTGCTCCCAGCATCCAGAGTTCCAGCTTCATCTCCAGCTGGGGGTGGGGCCTGTGACTGCCAGCTCCAGAGCCTATTGAGAGGGCCTTGTGCAGGCAGGCAGGGCAGGCTGGGGAGAGGCCTGGGCCGGTCCCAGAGGGAGCCAGGCATCCAGACTGTCCCGGGTCTGCTGACATAAGGCAGGGGTGAGCGGTGGCCTTTCAGTTTGGGGCGGAGACGGGTGACGTGAGGCTTTTCGCAAGGGCCTGGAGCCCCTCCCAGCGTTCTGGCTGGTACACCCCCTCGACCCCCACCCCAGTACATCCAGGGGTCTGCGTGCGGAGCTGTGTCTACAGGCCTGCTGGGCAGACCAGCTTGAGGTGCTCTGTGTGGGTGGGACCCACTGTGAGCGGGAGGCCAGCTGGGGTTCCCTGGGAGGGCAGGGGCCAGGATGCCAAAGAGCCCAGAATTCCTTGTAGGAAAGAAGCTGGCCAAACTGGGGAGCCCAGCAGGGAAGAGGTGGAGGGGGCTCCAGGAGGTGGGGGTCTGGGGACGCTATTTCCGCTCGGAGACATGGCTTTCCTGAGGTGGGAGGAGCCCTCCATCACTGGGTGTTTAGGCAGAGGCTGGGTGCTGTAGAGGTGACTCAGACAGGTGATGGGGGTGAGACTCCAAGCTTGGGTTTTTATGACTTTGTGACGCATCCTGTTTAAAACTCACTGAAAGTGGGAGTGCTTTAGTTTGGGCGATTGCCCTTAACCTTCAAGTACCTAACCACCAGTACCCATCCTCCAGGCAGACAGCTGGGCGGGCAGTCCCCTCCCAGGAGATCCCCTTCACTCCCCACCATCCCCAGTCCAGGAATCCCCGGCCATGCCCCTCGTGACTTGTGACTGGTGTCTGGAGATAGCCCAGGAGAAGGGAGAGGGAGGGGCTCGCTCCCCAAGTTCAGGAGGGGCTGGGACACCGACCTGGAGCACGGGGGACAGCAGGAGCAGAGGAGGCCCCACTCTGTGTGCCACCTGGGGGGTTTGTCCCACGAGGGTAGCAGTCACTCAGCCCTTCCCCTGCCTCCCCCTCAGGTCTTCGCCTTGATCGTGTTCTCATGCATCTTCGGTGAGGGCTACAGCAACACCCACAAGTCCAGACAGCAGTACTGCGTGTTCAACCACAACGAGGACGCGTGCCGCTTCGGCAGCGCCATCGGGGTGCTGGCCTTCCTGGCCTCGGCCTTCTTCTTGGTGGTCGACGTCTATTTCCCCCAGATCAGCAACGCCACTGACCGCAAGTACCTGGTCATCAGCGACCTGCTCTTCTCAGGTATCTGCCGGCTGCACCTCCATTTGATCTTGGGGTGAACAGGAGCGGCAGTGGTCCCAAGAGCTCTAGGGTGCTGTGACTGCAGGGCTTGGGAGGGGTGGGAGTAGCCCCAGGTCCCCAGACCTCCCAGCAGACAGGCTGGCACGGAAGGATTTCTCACCATCTGCTGAAACCCTCCACAGCTGAGTGGGACTTGGAGCAAGGACTCCCAGGATAGCATCTTGTCCCCACCCTGGCTTCTGCATCAGTGCCCTTTACACCCCCGGAGGCTTCTCCCTCCAGGAGGTGCCTGCCCTCCTGCCTGCTCCGTGGAGCTAACCCTGCCCTCCTGGCCTTCTCCCCAGCTCTCTGGACCTTCATGTGGTTTGTTAGCTTCTGCTTCCTTGCCAATCAGTGGGCAGCCACCAAGCCGGAATATGTGCTGGTGGGAGCCGACTCGGCCCGGGCAGCCATCGCCTTCAGCTTCTTTTCTGTCTTCTCCTGGGTAAGTGGACCAGGACGGGCCAGGGTCCTGGTGTCTTTGGTGAAGGGTGGTGGAGGGCTGAGGAACCCAAACCTCGGGGCTCTCTGCAGGGCATGCTGGCCTCCTTGGCCTACCAGCGCTACAAGGCCGGAGTGGACGACTTCATCCAGAACTACGTGGACCCCACTCTGGACCCCAGCACGGCCTACGCCTCCTATCCAGGCGCGCCTGTGGACAGCTACCAACAGCCGCCCTTCACCCAGAACGCCGAGACCACAGAGGGCTACCAGCCGCCCCCCGTGTACTGAGCTGTGGCCGGGGATGGTAAGGGGAGGAGGGAGGGCGCCTGGGGGGCCTCCCCTCTTCCCGGACTCCTCCCCCGAGGCTGGTCTCCCAGAGCTGCCGGCCCCACTCGATCCACCTGGCGCCTGTCGGAGCTGACGCACGGCCTGGAGAGAGAGCCCCTGCCTCCTCGTCCTGGCTGCTGGCCTCAGAGCCTCGGCCTGTGCCCCAGGGGGCTTCACCCACCACTCCTCGAGGGCATTTTTTAGGGAAGGGTTTTTGGTTGGATGGGTTTTGTCATTGCTTTTAATGATCCCCAACCCCACCTGAAGTAGCTCCAAGGGCCCGATGTGCTGGTTTGACAAGTGCCTTAGCTTCTCCCCAGCCTGAAGGAGCCGGGCCACATGCAGGCCTCGGTGGCCACCGCCATCTGGGGGTCTCTGCCAAAGATGAGGCTGTGGGGCCTTCCCCCTGCTCTGCTGCTGGTACTGGGCTGGGGCTCCTTTCCTCCTCACTCAGGTTCGTTCTGCCCCCAGCCCCCTGCCCCCTGCCTGCTCTGCGAGCGGCAGCCCGTGCTCACTGCTGAAGTGTCTGCTCGCTTGGATCTGGGCTCTATGCCAGTGCCTCTGGGTCACCTTCCTGACAGCCTAGGCGCAGGGCTGGTGCCGTCCCCCACCAGCGGGCTCGGGCGGGCAGCACTGTCTCTGCTCCCACCCCTTGGCCGCAGGAAGGGGCTTTGCCTGACGACAGCACCCAGCTTTATGTAAATACCCCACCACCGTTAGTTGGGAGGCGTGGAGCACACCCACAGCCCCCAGGCTGCTCTGAATGTATTGCAGAGCCTTGGGGGAAGATGCACAGCACCCTTGGATTCTGTTGACTAATTTTGGAGGTGGAATAAATGTTTTTCTCATTCATAATCTCCATTGTGATGGGCGGGGCGTCTGTCTAGGGGTAGGAGAAAGAGAAATTCCACCCTGAGGTTCACCCTCTGGCCGAGGTCTTACGGAACCTGTATTTTGGCCAGAGTTGTGGCAGTCTGGCCCTCCAGCGTGCCTAGCAGCTCCCCGCCACCCCCACCCCCCCACCGACCCAGGGTCTCATTGCTCACGCTGCCCTCCCATCAGCATCTTAAAATAGTAACTGTGCTCAGCCTGTAAACAACATGGCTTTTCTGGGCCGCTCTGCCAGGGTCCTGGCGTGCCCCTGGAGGGGCAGGGGCCCTCTGCTTCCCGTAGACAGGGCTCAGCACCTCTGCAGCCTGTTCCGGACACACAGGGGGCCGGCCTGACCGCCCAGCCCGCCCCAGGGAACAAGCCCGGCTCAGGCAGGAGGCCAGGGCTCCCAGGGCAACTCGGGGCTTCCCCTTTTGAGCCCAGACAGGGAGCTGTCAAAAGTGGGCCCCAACAGTTTCAAAATCCTGAGTAAAAACTAATAGGGTTTGGGAATTACGGTCTCATCATTGTACTGCGCCTTTGTAACCTGGGACCAACCGCGAGCAAAGGGGAGGGAGAAGCTGGGGCGACGGTGGGGAACCCGGACCCCCATCTGCATGGGGCACACCTACAGCCCAGGCTCACCCCACCCACACCCGACCTGGCGCACTCTTGCCTCCGTGTAAGCTGCCCACAGCGTATTTTCTGAGGCACAGCAGAGCTGGTCTTCTTGGCTCCTGAACTGTCAAGTGTCTGTTTCACAAACAAAACCTGACCTCACAGCCCCACCTGGCAGCACAGACCAAAGCTTCATCTTTCCAACCTGGGCCTCAGGCTCCTTCATCCACCCATCTTGACCTGAAACCTGCCCAGACAGAAGAGCAGGCAAACATTCCTCTCAGGACACACTTCACGATCATTCTCAGTTAAAAAGCGTTGTGGCTAAGAGATCAGTAGTACTAGAAAATGATTTGAAAAGAAATCCCCACACCTAAATCAGGTCAGAGCCGTCTCCAGTGAGACCCGGGGAATCCCAGACAGTTAAAGAGAAATACGCTTTCATCAACCAGTAAATTTTACTATTAGTTATTAATTTCACACACTACAACAGAAAAATCACAGCCCCTGCTTTAAAAGACAAGCCCCTGGGATCTGAGCCCCAGCAGGGTGTCACCCACGTGGAAGAAGCTGTAATTCTGGAGAAAATGATCGCCAGAGCAGGAAGGGCTTTTGGCCCCAAGGGAAGTAAGAGAGAACAAGTCCAGCCATCCTCAGAAGGGCCAGGAGCCCGTCCCAGGCAGGGGGACTAAAGTCTTTTCACGAGAGGAGGCTCGGTGCTGAGCCAGAGGTGCTGGTGCTCCGCCTTCCCAGTGAGAACAGAAACTCAACAGCAAAAGCCACAAAAGGGGAAGAAGCCAGGAGCGCCGATGCCACAGGAACTTGCGCCTCCGGCCTCACCGCTTGGAGAGGGAGGGACTCACCCCAGCAGTGGCCCCGCACCGGCCTGGGGTGGATTGTGAGTAGTCTGGGAAGGGAACTGAGGGAAGCCGGCGGGCAGGCAAGGAGGGAAGTGTGATGTGCAGACCACCAGCCCGTGGCCCTTGGCCGGGGAAGGGGCGCTGGTGAAACTTCACCCCCCCCCCCCCCCCCACCCCCACTTCCTCCTCTGAGAAGGCCGGGCAGCACGCAGGGGGCAGGCGTCCGCCAGGGGGCAGCAGCAGGCACAGGAGCAGGTGGCCGGTCAGCGCCCGTCCTGGGTGTGGGGCCTGTGCCTCAGTTGGCCGGGCTGCACTGCAGGATCTGATGAGGAGCGAATAGCTTCCTGGCTCCTGTGGCCTCCCCGGGCTTTCCCAGCACTGGGCAGTTCTCTTTATTCTCTTTGCTGTCCAGCCCGGCAGGCTGACCCGAGGCCTTCTTGAAGTAGCAGAGGCGGCACACAGAGTGGTACTTGTCTGCTCCTCCTATCACCTCGACCTGGCCATGGGACAGGAAGCGCCGGGACTGAGCGGGGACACAGCACCACCCCCTCCCCTCCACCCCTTGGAGAAGGCAGGAGGGGCCACCTCTTTCTCCACGCCCAGCCTCTTGGTGTAGGCGGCCTCTCGGAAGCACTCCATGCACACCGCCGTCAGCTTCACCACACTCTCGGCCAGGGGCACCAGGTTCAGGATGGTCCCGAAAGCCTGTATTCCCATGGAAAGACTGGTGTGCACTTACCTCACCGGGTGGGCTTTTCCTTGAAACCCTCTGATTCACAGCCCTGAAGCCAGGAAACTAGGCCCTGACCTTGCTTTCCCCCAGAGCACCAGCCCCTGCAGCAGGCGGCCTAGTCTGGGGCAAACCAGGGAGCTGGGTCTGGCTTGCCTGAGCGCCTGGGCTCTGGCACAGTCTGGTCATCCAGGGCGTGGTGAGCTGTCCATCTGTGCACAGCCCCGGCCCCTTCCTCCCTCCTGGGTCCCATCCCAAGACCTGGACCAGACGCCTTACCTTCCTCTGGAAGGTCCCATCCAGTGCAGCCACAATGACGGTCTTCCCGGCATTGGCCATGGTCTCGCTGAACTCCACGATGTCAGGGAACTGGAAAGGGTGAGAGGAGGAGTGAGCTTCCGCCCTGGGCAGCAGCTTCCAGGAGCCACGAACACGTGGCTGGACCCAACAGCTCTGGCCACCTGGATCGGCGTGGAGTGCGAGAATAGGGTGGCCTCAGCTCCCCACACCCGGCACGCTGCCTGCACATCTGCAGCAGCCCCAGTCACTCCACCATCCTGCCCGCTTTCCATGGCAGAACCGGGCCCCAGGTCACTCTACCATCCTGCCCGCTTTCCATGGCAGAACCGGGCCCCAGGTCACTCCACCATCCTGCCCGCTTTCCATGGCAGAACCGGGCCCCACGTCACTCCACCATCCTGCCCGCTTTCCATGGCAGAACCGGGCCCCACTCCAGGCCAAGCACCCGGAACAGTCACCAGGAGAGGCAGTCTGCTACTGCAGTGGTCAAAAGCCCAGACCAGAGGCTGCCTTGGGCTTGAACCGTGGTCTTGGTTGGACCCATTAGCTGTGACCTTGGCAATGACTTCACGTTTCTGAGCCCAAGAAAAGGCAAGGAAGGCCCTTGGTGGTGTTTAGGGATTAAGGACCCTCGAATAATTTATGACATATGCTATTTGCCTGAGAGGCAGGCTCTGTGTGTTTGCCTTTTTTGAAAAACATAATGTGCCCGTGTGACGCCTTGAGAAGGGGTGAGGGTTCCACTGGCCACTTAGAGCAGGATGGCACGGCACACCCTTCTAAATACAGGGCCTGCAGAAAGGTCACTTACTTGGTAAATCAAATTTCAAGTGGCCCAGGGCAAGGCTGCTACTTAAATTCTTTGGTGAACTTTCACTGGTCAATCAGCTGTCTAGATTGGTCTTTGGGTTGGGTGAAGTGGGGAGTTCCTGTGTTTGGTCAAAGGGTCTCTCTCCAAGCCGCTCATGTAGGTGCAAAGTTACCAAGACCTGAGGGCTCAGCAAGACGAGGTCCAGGAGAGGGGTTAGAAAACCTGGATCAGTTCCAGCGGGATTCACCGAAGCCAGATCTGACGGCCTCTGCAGGGCTGCCGAGCCTGAGCTACGGAAACAGCACCTCCCACCCAGAGGCTCCAGCCTGGCTCCAGGTGAGGCCCCTCTTCTTCTCTAAAGGACTCATCACAGGTCACAGAAATGCAGCCCCCAGCCTGCAAGGAGCTGTCAGCCAGTGCCCTCCACCCTACCCCCATTGTCACAAACAAAATGGTTTCCAGACATTGCCAGATATCCCCCGGGTAGGGGCTGGGGGCAAAACCGCCCTGGGATGAGCACCCCCTGCGTCTCACTCTCCCTGTCAAGGCCTCATCAGATGTGGGTCCTTCCACACCAGGGTTTGGGGACCTCTCAGGGTCCTCCGCCTTGCCCGCTGCAGCGATGCCCACCATCAGAGACTTCAATTCTTCCACTTAAACTTTGTCCCCTGTTCACATGCCACCCCGCCCCCACCCAAACACTGAACCCTGGGCCCCCAGCTGGGGTTCCTGAATGATCAAAGGTAAGGTCAGAGCTGTCTGCAACATCCCAGAATGCCCACTGGTAACCAACCACATTACTGACGTTTGTTTTTATTGCCATTAAATTTTTTAGGTTATGTTATGGGTTGAATTGTGTCCCTTCCCACCCCCCAAATCCATACGTAGAAACCCTCACCCCCAATAGCTCAGAACCTTATTTGGAGAGAGGATCTTTGCAGAGGTATCCAATTATAAAGTAGGTCAGTAGGGTCACACTCCAGTATGACTGGTGTCCTTGTAAAAAGGGGAAATTTGGACACAGAGAGGGACAGACACAGGGAGCAGATGGCCACCTGCACGCCAAGGGGACAGGACTGGAACAGATTCTCCCTCACGGCCTCAGGGGGAACCCACCCTGCCCACACCTTGGCCTTGGGCTCCCAGCCTCCAGAGCTGTGGGAAGTAAATGTCTGTGGTTTAAACCGCCCAGTCTGTGGTACATGTCACAGCAGCCATAGACTCTAATACAGGTTACATTCAAAGCGGAACTTCAGAGGACCTAGTAAACGTAGGGTTTTCTTGGTAGACAAAAATGATTGCCACACGGGATCCAGGAAGAAAAGTAACAGGGGGTTTCTTGATGGTGACAAGTCTACCCATTTGGTTCACCTGCCGATCCAGCACCTGGGCTGACCTGCCGTGAGCCACTTCCTGAACAAGGTTTGATGAGGGGAGAGGACCGAAAGGGGAGATCAGGAAGCCAAGAAGTAGTTTCACCCTCGTCCTTATCTTGCCGAGAGGTGGCGCCCTCATGATGCACGAGGGAAGCACCCCGGCCCTGCCCCGGTGGAGGCCCGGCTTCCCGGCAGCCAGGCTGGTGTTGAAGGCGCAAAGGCCACAGAGGACAGGAACGAAGGATGTGACACTGAAACATTCAACCGTTCCACCATGAATGGTAGAGACTAAATGAGATGCACAGACCAAATCCAGAGGCAAATAAACAGGGAAGAAATATTTACAGCATGTGACAAACTGGCACCGATTACATCATGTCCTGTAGAGGAAAGATCAACCAAGAGAAGGAGGCAATTTACAAAAGTAGAAACACAGGGAAAATGATGTCAGCCACCGGAGTAACAAAAGAGAAACGCAGTTGGAACAGGATGTGTGTATGCAGCCGCCACCACCCTGCCCTCCACCGCCGGGGATTTCCGCAAAGACCCAGATGCCTCTCCCCCCCCCCCCCCCCCCCCCCCCCCCCCCCCGCTGTCCATGCTCCTCCAGCAGAGGAGACGCCCTGGGTGGCTTCCAGGCTCTCCCAGGGTTAACGCCAAAGTCTTTCCCACTGACCTGGCCAAAGCCCCTGGCCTCCTGGCTGCTCCTGAGATATGCCCAAAAGCATACTCCTGACTGGGAACCTTCACCCCACTTTCCTTTCGGCCCCTTTCTGACCGTCCTCATAAAGCATCATCCCCACCTTAGCTCTACCCCCTCACAGTGCCTTTCTCCCCCGGTTGCCGCCACCTTTTACATATTTCTCTCCCCCAACTAGAATGTAAGTGCAAGGGCGAGACCCTGGCTGTATCCCCAACACCTAGAACATCGCTGCCACACGGCACAAGCTCAGAAAACACTTACTGAATGAATGAGATCGGTCCCTTGACCAGTGATTCTACTTAGTAGATAAACCCCAATACACCGGACGATAGCCAGGATGTCCGCACACACGCCTGTCACAGCCTGTAAGTGCCACACCCAAGGGGCCAGCTCATGCAAGACATGGTACGTTCATAAGGATAGGTATTTGCTGATGAAGAAAAAATGGTCACAACAGTGATATGAGCCCGATCTATAAATACGAACTTCCGGCAAGGCCATTCTGTGACTGTGATGGTCAAGACAAAACCAGACCTCTCCTAGGGACTTCCCTGGTGGTCCCAGTGGTCTCCACGCTCTCACTGCTGAGGGCCCGGGTTCAATCCCTGGTCAGGGAACTGGATCCCACACGCTGCAACTAAAGATCCCGCACGCTGCAACGAAGACCCAGCACAGACAAAAAAAAATTAAAAAGAAACAGAGGTAAGACCAACACTCGGAGTGACACTGTGAGGCTGGCATGCCCAGGATCCAGCTGCCCACCTACCACGGCACCCTTAGCTTATAGCGTGGGGTCTTCAGAGGTACCCCTCTCCAAGGGAAGGATGAAGGGAGGAAGAGGCAGTCCTTTTGTCAGGTCCCATGTTGAGAGGCAACCGAGGCAGCCACCTCTGGGCCCCAGAACTTCTTGCAGAGCAAGACCCACAGGGGCGAGGGCAGAACAGAAGATTGGTGATGTTTCTGCAGTAGGTTTAATAAACACTAGTTATGGGAACTCGAGTTTGACTTGCTGGCCAGGGAGGAAGTAGCCATAGAAACAGGGAACAGAACTGTGGGGCAGGGACTTCCCTGGTGGCACAGTGGTTAAGAATCCGCCTGCCAATGCAGGGGACACGGGTCCGATCCCTGGTCCGGGAAGATCCCTCATGCTGCAGAGCAGCTAAGCCCATGCTCCACAACTACTGAGCCTGCGCTCTAGAGCCCATGCTCCACAACAAAAGAAGACACTGCATTGAGAAGCCCGCACACCACAATGAAGGGTAGCCCCTGCTCTCTGCAACCAGAGAAAGCCCGCGCAACAACAAAGACCTAACACAGCCAAAAAATAAATCAAAAAAAAGAAGCGGACTTCCCTGGTGGTGCAGTGATTAAGAATCCACCTGCCAGTGCAGGGGACACGGGTTCAAGCCCTGGTCCGGGAAGATTCCACAAAGCCCGTGTGCCACAACTACTGAGCCTGCACTCTAGAGCCCGGGAGCCACAACTACTGAGCCCACAATCCACAACTACTGAAGCCCGTGCGCCTAGAGCCCGTGCTCCGCAACAAGAGAAGCCACCGCAATGAGAAGCCCACGCACCGCAACGAAGAGTAGCCCCTGCTCGCCGCAACTAGAGAAAGCCCGCGCGTAGCAACGAAGACCCAATGCAGCCAAACATAAATAAGTAAATAAATAAACTATATATATAAAAAATTATTTTTACAGTAAACAAAAAATTTGATTTCTCAACACTGGTGTATAGGGAGGGTTTGGTTCTGTTTAGCTCAATGTTGCCTCTTTTTTAAAAAAAATTTATTTATTTATGTTTGGCTGCGTTGGGTCTTCGTTGCTGCGCGCAGGCTTTCTCAAGTTGCGGCGAGCAGGGGCTACTCTTCGTTGCGGTGCGTGGGCTTCTCATTGCGGTGGCTTCTCTTGTTGAGGAGCACGGGCTCTAGGCGCACGGGCTTCAGTAGTTGTGGCTCGTGGGCTTAGTTGCTCCATGGCATGTGGGATCTTCCTGGACCAGGGCTTGAACCCGTGCCCCCTGAATTGGCAGGAGGATTCTTAACCACTGTGCTACCAGGGAAGTCCTGTAAATTTTTTTTTTTTTAAGGTACAATAAATTCTATATAACAGTAACACAGAAAGCAGTGAAGGGAATTCAAAGGGTATTCAGACACTAGTTAAAGCAAGTTAACAATGTTTACCTTATAAAAATATCAGAAATTGAACCAATAACCTCCAAATTAGCAGAGGAAAAAGGGGGACAGTTGAGTTCACAGAAAGAGTGCTATCAGGACAAGTCAACTTACAAACTGCCCTTCGTCGATGCCTATAACAGCCACGCCCAGGGCCTCCTGGGCCACATCCCGGAGCACGCAGGCTGGCAGGGCCTCCATGGTGTTCCTGGGGACAGAAAGCCAGAGTGTGAGCAAGAGAAGGGAGCTAGAGGAGACCAGGAACCAGAATGAGGGGCCAGGGAAATGGTCTCATGAGCAACCCCTACCTGCAGAGCAGGCTGAGATGTCTGCCCAGAGCTTTGAGAAATTAGCACCTGTGGGAAGGCATCTGGGGAGAACAGTAAAGGCCTTTGTTTGGAAAACCAGTTATTCAGCAAGAGCTATTTCACTTCACGCTTTGGACTGGAAATTAGCAATGCCCAATGTAAAGCTCAACCCAGATGCAAAGCTCTTCTCTGCTCTGCTGTGTGTGTGTGTGTGTGTGTGTGTGTGTGTAGTGGGGTGGGGTGCAGACAGGGTTACTTCATCAGGTACAGTGCCTGGGGCCCATGATGCTTTGGGGACGAATGAAACATTTTAATTTCTTCTAAAAATCAGAATAAATGTAACTCAGTCTGGATTATCTTTGTCTTTATATCAATGCAGTCATAAATTATATTTTTTATTTTTTTCTTTATAGAGGAAGGGGCCCATGAAGGCAGAAAGTCCCCAGGGCCCATGGAAGTCCTACCATGGCCCCGGGCAGACCATTAGCACCAGAATCTAAGACTAGGCGCCCCGTGCCCCAGCAGAGATAAGCCACGAACACCAACCAGCAGTGCAGTGACCTAGAATTCCCTCCTTTTGACTCCTCTGGCTGATTAAAGGATTTCTCAGAGATCATAGAGCTATTAACTGGCAGAGTCAGGATTCAGATCTGCATTCATACTGCTGCCTCGTGTGTCCTGAGGGGAGGTTCCTACCCAGCAGAGTCTGAAAGTGAAAGGCCGCGTGTGGGAGTGTTCCAGTGCATTAAATAAATGACGACGCGGTGGACCCCACCCTGCCCCACAGCCAGGCCTTTTGGAAGAGGAATGCTGTTCTTTGTCTTCTAGTTTCTGTTTTTCTGCAATGTTATTTTCTTCTGTTTCCATTTTTGCCTGCTCCTCTGAACTACCCTTCCAAGGAGCTAGGAGTTTCCTGACGGCTCTGCAGTTTTGCAGCTATATATTTATGTAAAACTTTACAACTACTTAGTGATTATCTTGCTTTGATCCTGCAGGCAACGCAGTAAGCCGGTTCCAGCTTCAGCAAGAGCAGCGTCTCTGGAGCATTGTCACACTGCCAAGCGCTAGGCCTCTGCTGCAGCTCGTCTGGGCCTCTACAGCCCAGATTAGAGAGGATTTGTGACACTGGGGCAGAGCCTGGATTCCACCCCCATCTGACAGACCCAGAAGCTGCACTTCTAATCTTCTCCACTGCTTTCACTGTCTTCCCCGACACTTCTTGCGTCCTGAGCAGCGGACACCTATGTTTTAGGGATGAGAAAGCAAACTTGGAGACGTAAATGACCTGCATCAGGCAACATGTCCAGGAAACGTCACTCAACGTTTAACTTAACTCCAAGTCCTGGGCCCTCTCCGCCTCACCCACCTGCCCAGCTTCAGAGCCCGCCGCACTCCCACCCTGAAGCCACACACAGCACAGCCTTGATGCTGGGGGCTCAGGTGGATGAATCTGGAAGACGAGAAAAGTGTCTTAGCCTCCAAACCATCAGGCCCTAAATGTACGGAATGGCAGGCGTGGTACTAAATTTAACCTCCCAACCTCAGGCTGCAGGCTGAAATGTCCACAGGACACAGGCAGATAAACATAAAAGGGGGATGCACAAAGGCCACGAGACAGGGAGTCAGCAAGGACAAGCCAACTAAAAACTTAAATAAAATTCAGCCTGCAGGCCAGCAAAACCAGTCTGCAACATCCACATAGGTCAAGAGCAGGGTTTCTCAACCTTGGCCAGACATTACTGACATTTGGGGCTGGATCATTCTTTGTTATGGGGCTGTCTGTGCATTGTAGGATGTAGCGGCATCCCTGCCCTTTACCCACTAGTTGCCATCATGCCCTTACCTCCTCCTGTTGTGAAAACTAAAAAACGTCTCCAGACATTGCAAATAGACGCTAGTGGGCAGAATCACGTCCTGCTAGGAACCACTGGGCTAGAGCCCCAAGAAAGGCCAAGTTCTAGGGTACCTTGCCAAGCAACCTGGAAAGTTTGCAGATTTGAACGGTTCGTTGCCCGGCATCAGCATTATTAACCATCCTCTCTAAAGAGTTCTGACAGCCACTGGGCTTCTCACAAAAGGTGTGGGGACAGGACAGAAGGGGCAGGGACTGACCGGTCATGCGTGGAGAAGTTGCTGCTGTAACGCGTGTCCTTGGCATATTTGATCACCAGGCACTTGTACTGGGCAATCTGGAAGCGACGGACCCGTCTCATCAGCTCAGTACTGCAAGGTAAGGCCCATGCATAAGTGTGGGCGAGGAAGACCCCATCAGCACAAGTCGGGCTCCCTACCGCCTTCTAGGGGTATACAGCCTGAGCCCCACCAATGGATGGGAAGGCTGCAGGGCAGAGCGTGGACCAGTGAGGACAGAAAGGGCCCACACAGAGAGTTCAGTCTAGACCCAGGAGGGAGGAGCATGCCTGGGCTGATAGTCATTCTCTATGGGGAGGGAGGCAAAGAAGGGCCCTCAGGTGATTCAGGGAAGGGCTGGAGGAGTGATTTTGTTGGGGGCAAAGCAAAGACCACATGCACAGGAGAGGGGTTCAGATTCCATTCCAAAGTAATCTCACCCCACAGTTCTTCACATAGCCTGAACTAACTTCACAGAACCTTTTGGTGCAACAAGGGAAGCGCTTTGTCTCTGAGTCCAAGAGCCCACCCTGAGCCTCACCATCGTGGGCAAGGGATTTGAGCTGGAGTGATTCCCCAGCGCCATATAGGAAGGGGGGCCAGGGGAGTTACTGGGGGCTCACTGGGATTGGTTCTATCGCTTCAGGGAAGCAAAGGCACCAGCGCTTGACTCTTCAGTGTGAAGAGTAACTACGCCCCTGGGCCATCTGAGGAAACAATCATACACTGCAAGGAAGCCACAGATACTGCAGGGCGCACAGAGCCTGGCCACCGTAGATGCACCCTTCAGAGAGGGCTTTAGTGAGGGGCTAAACGGTGAGCAGCTGTGACCAGCTCCCGGAAGGAGCGGTGGTTGAATGACCCCAAGGGGAAGAGGTTCCGACCCGGACGGGAAGGGGAGGAGCTTCTCCTCCGGTAGGATCCCACGGAGGAGAGGCATCCTGGGCGCGAGCACGGGGTCGGGCAGTGGGGGCTGCTCTAGAAGCGGGGCTCTGAGAGCGGCGGCAGGCTCGGGGTCGTGGGGCGTCATGGGAGGAGGACGGGGTCCTGGGGGTTGGAGGAGAAGCAGGGAAGTAGAGGAAGAGGTCCCGGCCTACCCCCGTCCCGCGAGGCCATTACCTTTTTCCTGAGAACATGGGTCCGAGAATCACCTAGGAGAGAAGGAGAGGTCACTGGGCCCCGGTGCGCACGGACACCCGGGCTCCGATCACGACTCCGACCCCGCCCCGCGGCTCGCACCTGGATCTGCCCCCGGGTCTTGCTGGGGGAGCCGGGCAGCACGGTGGGCAGGTTGATGCAGCTCATGGTGCCTTCAGAGGACCGCCGCCGCCGCCGCCGCCGCCGCCGCCGCCGCCGCCGCCGCCGCCGCCGCCGCCGCCGCCGCCGCCGCCGCCCTGCAGGCTCTCGTCAGTTCCCGCGCCGTGCTTCTTTATCCCCGGCGCGCGGGCCAATCGAGAGCCGGCGCCGCCGGCCCGGAGCCAATCAGCGTGCGGCTGTGGGACCGGCGGGAGATTTGACCTAAGCCCGCCCCCTCGTGGGAGGGACCGGGAACGCGCGCCCCAGGCTCAGCTCAGCTCAGCTCTGGCGCCCCAGAGCCCCGCCCTCCTGGCATAAAAAGGCGGCCCGGGCGCCTGTCGGCTCGTACACAGCGGGATGGATGACTTGGAGGGAGGTGCTAAGCGCGGGGCTCCCTGGAAGAGGATGTCTAAAGAGGTAGGCGGATCACTGGGAGAGGCTGGGGCTGAGGAGTGTGGTTCAGAGATGAGATGGGGATTGAGAAAAAAGTTTAGAACCACTCCTGTGGGCGCCGTTGATAGCCTACTGTGTGCCAGCTCCCGAAAGCTTTAGCACTGTGATTTATTGATATTTTACTTCTCGCCACAGGTAGGCTTTTGCTAGCCTGATTTTAAGGGTAGAGGAAATGGAAGCCCTGGCTATGTTTTTTTTTTTTGGCCTCACTGCGTGGCATGCAGGATCTTAGTCCCCTGATCATGGATTGAACCCCTGCCCCTGCAGTGGAAGCGCGGATTCCTAACCACTGGACCGCCAGGGAAGTCCAGCCCTGGCTATGTCAATACCCATAAACCGGGATGAGGTTGGGGCCGAAGTTCCGGACCTTAATCTGAGGTTGTGCAATGTTTGGAGGATGTGTCAGACCTGAAGGAGTAAATACCGGAGGGCTGGTATTTACTGAGGGAAGGTTATGGGGGTTAGAAACCACATATGCAAAGCATTTGTTATGCTTATTCTGTTATAATTTCCTAACTAGTTTTCCTACATTTCAGGTAGTGGTTCTTTCTCTGGTCATGGACGCCTCTAAGAATGTGGTGACAGTTACAGATACTGCCCCCAAGAAATCCTAACCTCTCTTTTTCGGTCTCTCTCTGTCTGTCTGTCTGTCTGTCTGTCTCTCTGTCTCACACATAGACACACACACACACACACACACACACACACACCCCTATAATATCAGAGCACTTTCAGAAACCCATTGCATTATCATTATTATAAATCATAGCAATAATAAAAGATGACGAATAGCAGTCACAGAGTGTGCGAGGTATGACTGCAGACATCTGACGGGCATAGATTGTACAGATCCAAAGACCCCTGGCCAAGAACCCTGTTCAATGGGAAGAGGGGGAAACCCACATTTGAGTGGCTAGCTTGACTTCATTTACATGCCTTATAGCTTTCAGCCTCACGAGGTATACAGCCTCACAAGGCTGAAAGCTATAAGTCATGTGAATGAAGTAACGTACTATTGTTTTGCCCATTATACAGATGAGGGAACTGACTGTCAGTAAGTTGCCCAGGGTAAAAGAGCCTGCAAGTGATGGAGCTTGGATGGCACTCAGCCCATCTGATTCCAGAGCCCAAGACCTTTCCATGAGGCCACCTGTCTTCAAATTTCCCAGTCCAGCCTTCACCTGTTTTGTTGTTGTTGTTGTTTTGCCTCTGAGCCCTTTCTCCAAAACCTGGTTCCTTATTACTTTCTGCGTTAAGTCTGAACATCTTAGCTTGACATTCAAGACCCTTCACCCCCCGGCCCCCGCCTCCCAGCCTCACCTCTGTGTTTCAACAATCTGGCTGGCCAGCATTTCCAAACTGACCTTTGATTCCTTCCTCTTCACCTCTGTTTCACTGATTGTGCTGCGCCCACCTGCAGTCAGAATCATACCTTTTCAGGGAGTATCAGCTCTACATCACTTTCTCTGCAGTGGCCACCCCAGCTCCCTGGCTTCCTGTGGTCTTAGCCACTGTGGAAGTGGTACCCGTGATGGCATTAACTGGGACAGATCTATGGGACCTCATTTCCCTGTAAAGCTGTCCTGCTGGTGAAAGGCATGGCCGTTGCTCTAGACCATGGATCTGGCAGCATCTGCCATGTTGTATCTGAAACGCCTAATTAGTTAGTGGGGGGAGAGTGGGGAGTGGATTGCCAGGCTGGAGACTGGGGGGCTTGAAGGAAGCTAAGGGCATCTATGAGAGCCTGAGATATCAGGGAACGGGCTTCTCCAGGCCGAGAGGAGCATACAGGCACACGGAGGGGCAGGAGCACAGTCTGCATGGAGGTCAAAGGTCTTATGGAACTTCATGTCTTTGTTCCGTAGGAGCTGGAGAATCAGTACTCCCCGAGCAGATGGGTCGTCCGACTGGGAGCAGAGGAGGCCTTGAGGACCTACTCACAGATAGGAAACGAAGGTACCGGGGGCTCTCTCTGTGGCTGCTTCAGGTGGACTTTAGCATGTGGCAGTGTTTCAGGATGCCGGGGCGGGGAGGAGGGGCCTCCCAGCCCCAGCCTCTCGGGACAGTTCCCAAAGTCCAGACACCTCATCTGCTCGGGGCCAGGTGCCCCGGAGCCCTCCCTGCAGGACTGCCGGAGGCAGGGCAGGGGCAGTGACCATGCTCCACCTCCCCTCCTGCTCAGCCAACCTGCCAACTATGCCCAGGCCCTAAGGCCACAGTGGCCCAGGGAAGTGGAGTGAAAAAAGGAATGTGGCTGCTGAATGTGGGATGTTGTTGCTATCTACAAAAAGCAAAGAAGTCTTTTTTTTTTTCTTTAGAGAAATCAGGGCTTGGGAATCTGTAAGCTAGTGAAGTCTCAAGGTTAATTCCCATCCCAGCCCTGGGTCTCTAGAACCTTTTGAGCTGGGTTGGGCAGGCGGGCTCCATGGGGGACGTGTGGGTGAGGGAGCAGCCAGCCTCTCCTCCAAGTCGGAAAACTGGATGTTGGCAAATGAGCTTTGTGTCAGCAGGCTGACTGGAGCTCCCAGGGTTGGTGGTTCTCTACACTGAGATAACCCAGCTGGAGGGACAGGCTAGTGGGGGTTTATTCCAGTACATTTCAGCGCCCTCCCTGTCCTGATAGGGGGTGGAGCTGTGTCCTGGGCTCTTCAGAGTCCCGTACTGTGCCTAGCTCTGCACCAAATATGTCTCTGTATACTCAATATATATTTGAGTGTGCAGAGAAACCTACATGAGCTGGTAGAAAACCTGTTTGTCTATTGTAATTGTCTTGAGGGAGAAAAGAGCTGACCCTGTAGAGAAAGGGAGTCTCTCATAAGAAGCAAGGGCTTAGAAGAGACTCTGAGGCTGTTGCCCTCAGAGACTGTCTTCAGCAATCCCTCCTGAGAAGCCCTATGGACAGTTTTACATTCACATCCTACCTCCCTTCCTATTTTCGATGCTCCAGCTGGCCCAGAGGTGCCGCAGGTGCATCTGCCCTATTTCATTGGTGAAGAAGGTGAGTGCGACAACAGGGGGGCATTAGGGCCAGGTGAGTGGGTGGAGCCATGCATGCGCAGGGTTGGAGGCTGTCTCTATTGGAAATGTTGATATTTCTTTCATCGTGGACTTTTTGGCATTAATTTTGATTTTTAAAAATATTGCACTTAAATGTTATCTTTGTATTGGTCAGCTCAGGCTGCCATATCAAAATGCCATAGACTGGGTGGTTTAAACAATAGGAATCTCTTTCTCCCAGTTCTGGAGGCTGAGAAGTCCAAGATCAACGTGCCAATTGAAAAAAAAAAAAAAAAGTGCCAAGTGATTTGGTTCCTTGGTGAGGGTACTCTTCCTGGCTTGCAGATAGACCCCTTTCCCCTGCATCCTCACATGGCAGAAAGAGAGAGAAAGAAACGCTTGCTCTTCCTCTTCTCATAAGGCCACTAATCTCATCACAAGGGCTCCACCCTCATGACCTCAACTAAACCTAATTACCTCCCAAAGTCACCATCGCATTAGGGTATGAATTTTTGGGAGGCACAAGCCTTCAGCCCATAGCGATCCTCATTACTGAGTCTTTGGTGCCCTGCCCCATGCTGTGCCTGAGGTGTCTCACTCACCCCGTCCTAGTCCTGCATGATGAGGTTAAACAACTCACCCAAGCGCATGTGGCTAGGGACAGCCACCACTTCCCAGAGCTGAGCTTCCAGGTAAGAGGGGAGCAGGCTGACAAGGAGTGATGACAGTCAGGTGGTGTTGGTGGGTGCCACCAGCTGCCTCTCTTGGTGGAGTTCCCCAGACCTCTGGATCTGCAGATTGCCTCCTTGGAGTCAAACTCCCAGAAGATGGCGAAGGAATGTAAAGCAGAAAAAATGAACAGTGGAATCCCCCGCCAACCCAGAAAACCTCTCCGCAGAGGTAGAAGAGAAAGAAAACATGATTTTTAATTGAGTAAGGAGATTGCAAAACCAGAAAGAAACCTCACCCTTTTATACAGCCAGGCTTATATCCCTAGGGCATACCTGTTCTCAAAATCAGCATACCTGTGTTCAAGCAAGAGGACCTGAGGGCACTATCTACTGCCCTAGTCCATCCTAATTCCATAAGGGTGGCCATCTGTGCTTGCAAATTGCCTTTATCCAGAGGAAGACGAGAAATTCCCATATCCTTAAGGCAAGAGGTGGTTTTGCAACTTGGAGCCAGGTGCCTGCAGAAGTTAGGGTCCTTCTCTCCCATGGGGTATCTTGCTTGATAATTATATTTCAAAGGGAGAGCTCCCAGGTCGTTGAGAAGAACGTTCCTAGGTTGTAAAACTGGCAAGAGACTCTTTTAGCTTTAAAAAATATTTACATATGGGGAATTCCCTGGCAGTCCAGTGGTTAGGACTCCACGCAGAGAGCCAGGGTTCAGTCCCTGGTATGCGAACTAAGATCCCACAAGCCGCGCAGCGATAGATAGATAGATAGATAGAGAGATAGAGAGATAGAGAGATAAAATATTTACACACATTCCCAAAGGGGTAGAGAAAGGATATTTGATGAGGTCTCCTAAAAATAAATGCTCTAAGAAAAGGGAGGAAGGTAACTCTCTTTTCCTTTTTTGCACTACGGAGAATGAAATTGTTTTTCTTTTGATCTATATTCATTCTAACAGCGTCGACCTGTAACTTGCAGTGGGGACTGCCCTCTTCCAATGAGTAGGTCACTCTTTTTGCGGTAAGCGGGCCTCTCACTGTTGTGGCCTCTCCCGTTGCGGAGCAACAGGCTCCGGACGCGCAGGCTCAGCGGCCATGGCTCACGGGCCCAGCCGCTCCGCGGCATGTGGGATCCTCCCGGACCGGGGCACGAACCCGTGTCCCCTGCATCGGCAGGCGGACTCTCAACCACTGCGCCACCAGGGAAGCCCGAGCAGGTCACTTTTATCCTCCACCAAGGCCTGGCCTCTCTCAGACTGGGCAACTGGGGACAGCTGGGTGAGCACGGGCAGAGGGAGGTTTGAAGAACTGTTTCCTCTACCAGTAGCTATTAAATTTGAGTAACAAGACTCAGTAAAAACACATTGTACAAGAAACTAAAGGAGGTATATGTATAACCCGGCTTGGGGCACAGTTCCAAACTCCCATTCCCCCAAACCACGCCTCGCCCAAGGAGCACCAATCACCAGCGAGGTGGGTGGGGCTTCGTGATTGACAGCCCCTGCGACTGAGAGCCTCTCTGAGGTCCCCTCCTGCCTTTCAAGGCTGAGATTGTGCTTTTTCCTCTCCATCAGAAAAACCAAAGGAAGAAAACAAAGGTACGCAAAATACAGGCCCCAATTTTGTTTTACTGTGATAAAATACACATAACATAAAATGTACCACTTTGACCATTGTAAAGTGTACAATTCTGCAGCGTTTAGTACCTTAACGATGTTGTACAGCCGTCTCCGCTACCTGGTTCCAGCACATTTTCATCACCCCAGACGGAAAGCCCCTACCCGTTAAGCAGCCCCCTGGCAACCACTGACTGCTTTCTGTCTCTATGGATTTTCCTATTCTGGACGTTTCGTATAAATGGAATCCTACAAGATGTGGTCTTTTGTGTCTGGTGGCTTCCCCTTAGCATAATGTTTCCAAGGTCCAACCATGTTGTAGCAAGTCAGTGCTTCATTCCTTTTTATGGATGAATAATTTTCCATTGTATGGATGGACCACGTTTTGTTTATCCATTCATCCATTGATGGACATTTGGGCTGTTTCCACCTTTTGGTGATTGTGAAAAGTGCTGTTGTGAACGTTCATGCACAAGTTTTTGTTTGAAAGCCCTAATTTCTTGTTAAGTTCAATAGACACAGCCATTCTACCAAACTGCATGTATTCCAAATGTTTACCTCCACCTTTTTACTTAGTTCATCATGGACCAGTAGCAAGCCGTGTGGGACACCCATTGTCCACAGACCACATTATAATAGCCCTGCTCTGCACTCTCTGAGGTTGGCTGTTTTTAGGCAACAATTGTTTTCTGATTACAAAAGGAGCATTTGCCGATTGAAAAGGATTTTAGAAAATAAAACCGTCAATAATTGTCACCCATTGTTAACACTGTGATATCATTTCTTATAGTCTTTTTTTCTCCTAGGAGAAAGTGTTCTGTACTTATAATGTGCAATCTTGTTTTTAATAGCATAAACAGCCTTAAAAATTATTTCTAGAAGAGATACTATGTATAAAATGGAGAAACAACAGGATATATTGTATAGCACAGGGAAATATAGCCATTGTTTTGTAATAACTTTAAATGGAGTGTAATCGATAAAACGTTGAATCACTGAGTTTTACACCTGAAACTAATATAATATTGTAAGTCAACTACACTTCAATTTTAAAAATTCTTTCTAACCCAGGGCTTCCCTGGTGGCGCAGTGGTTGAGAGTCCGCCTGCCGATGCAGGGGACACGGGTTCGTGCCCCGGTCCGGGAAGATCCCACATGCCGCGGAGCGGCTGCACCCGTGAGCCATGGCCGCTGAGCCTGTGCGTCCGGAGCCTGTGCTCCACAACGGGAGAGGCCACAACAGTGAGAGGCCCGCGTACCGCAAAAAAAAAAAAAAAAAAAAAAAAAAAGTGTCAATACGGGTTAAAAAAATTAAGGTGCAGCCATAGGATGGAAGAGAAAGTTAACTGTTTCTGAAAAAAAAGAAAAGAACGAGGAAGCTGTCTATGTACTGATTGGGAAAGCTCTCCAAGAAATATGAAGTGAAACAGGCAGGGCAGAAATGTATTTCATATGCTGCCCTTTGGATTAAACGGAGAGAGAGTCCATATCCATATTAATAATAACAGTCACCTTGGCAGGGATATTGCATGCAAATTCCTGTTGTATATTTTTTTAACCATATAAACATATTATTTCTTCAAAAGAAAAATGAATGGCATTTCATTTATTTTTTAAGTTAATGCTCAGATAGCTCAGATTAAATTCCCGTCAACTTTTCAACGCAACTTACAAGATGTGATGGAATTCTGAAAAAAGCACTTCAAATTATAATCGCAGATGCAATGCATTTGATTTGCTTAACAGAATCTCATGGTTCTAATCAAGTAAAACGTACCTATTTAATAATGGATTGATTCAGTTAAGTGTGTCCTGTGGAGTGGTCTGTACCCAGCGTGGCACCTGGGGGCAGGTGAAGCCTGTTTGGGTCTGATCCTTGTAGAAGTCACACATCAGGCTCTGAGCAGTTGGTCGCTTGAAGCTTTAGGAGATGGGAAGCCCCTTTCCACCCCTCCATGGGAGAGGGAGTGGGAACCCACAGAACACAGCCAGCCTCATCCCTTTCCTAAGAAGCCTCCCCCTGGCCTTGTTCCCTCACTCAAGGGTGGGGTGTTGGTGATGGCAAAATCGGTTTTTCAGCCACCTCACCTGTCCTGCAGAGGCAGCCTGGTCCCTGCTTTAGGCACGTGGGAAACTTGGCATCTGCCATCATTTTTATTTCTCTTGACCTTGAGCAGTCCAGCAGAAATGGAGGCGGCCCATTTAAACAGTTTATTCACACTTGCATAAACACAATCTATGCAAACTATCTTCGTCTACCTAGTTTGCCCTTCCTGGAATTGCAGAATCACCCAACCCAAGGGAGCCCTGGTGAGTATATTTGGGAAGGGGCCGGTGGGCGGGGGGACCGTGGCCACCGAGGTTGGGGATCTGGAGGCTTCCAGGGACAGGGATCCCAAGTTGAAGGTCTCTTGCCACCAATCTTCAGTATCAGAAAGATTGCAGTGTTCGTGCTGTATGGTATTTGTGTAACCTGCTTTCGCTCTTTACGTGGCAAAATACTCTCCCTCCAGTATTTCCTTTTTGGTTAATGCATTTTGGGTCCTGTTTGTGTAATCTTTGCCTAGTCCAAGGTCATTAGGATTTCCTATTTCCTTTTCTAAAAGCTTTATTGTCTTCGCTTTCACATTTAAAGCTGTGGTCCATCTGGAATTGGTCTGGTGTGGTGTGAGGTAGGGATCAAGAAACTATTTTTTTCTTCCTTCAGATATTCAATTGACCCAACACTACTCACTGAAATATTTATTCTTTACATAATTTTCTTTTTCTTTCATTTTTTTTACACACTTTTCTTTTTAAAAATTAATTTTTATTGGAGTATAGTTGCTTTACAATGTTGTGTTAGTTTCTGCTGTACAGCAAAATGAATCAGCTATACATATACATGTATCCCCTCTTTTTTGGATTTCCTTCCCATTTAGGTCACCACAGAGCATCACAGTTTTCTTTTTCTTTTTTGGCTGCACCACACGGCTTGTGGGATCTTAGTTCCCTGACCAGGGATTGAACGCAGGCCCTCGGCAGTGAAAGTGCGAGTTCTAACCACTGGACCACCAGGGAATTCCCTACACAATTTTCTTTTAAGTGGTTATGATGTACCAGGTCCTGGGTGTACAGAGGTGTGCAAAGCAAAGCCCTTGTCTTCTCAGAGCTCATGTTCTAGTTAGGGTGACAGACAGACAGTAAACAAGTAAAAAATATATGAAGGATTAATGAATGCTGGGATAAAAAATAAAGGAGAGGGGCTTCCCTGGTGGCGCAGTGGTTGAGAATCCGCCTGCTAATGCAGGGGACATGGGTTCGAGCCCTGCTCCAGGAGGATCCCACATCCCTCGGAGCAACTAAGCCCATGCACCACAACTCCTGAGCCTGTGCTCTAGAGCCCGTGAGCCACAACCACTGAGCCCGCAAGCCACAACTACTGAAGCCTGCGCGCCTGGAGCCCGTGCTCCGCAACAAGAGAAGCCACTGTAATGAGAAGCCCGTGCATGGCAACAAAGAGTAGCCCCCACTCACCACAACTAAAGAAAGCCCGCACGCAGTAATGATGACCCAATGCAGCCAAAAATAAATAAATAAATCTAAAAAAATAAAATAAAAAATTTTAAATAAATAAAGGAGAGAAAGGGGATATACCATAATGTATTTTACCTGTTTTCTATTGTAGATCACTTGGGCTGTGTCCAATGTTTTGCTGTCATAAATAGCATTAGTGTGGGCATCTTTAAAACAAGTCCTTAAGAATATTTCTGATTATTTCCTTATAATAAATGTATAGATAAGGACTTATGCATCAAGGAATATGATCTTCTTGGGCTTTGATACATATTTCCAAGTTGCCCCCCTGGAAGAAATTACCAGTTTACACTCTCTGGCACCCAGTGATAGAGGAAGCTGAGCTTCCTGGGTTTCAGTGATCGAAATGGGGCCTTGAGGGGACATTGTTTACTGCAACATGAACATACAGAGTCCCATCCCACCTCTAGGCCTTTGCCTTTGGTATTTAATTTACTTACGGTAAATTACGTAAATGTACTTCCTCCTTTCTCCTGACCCCAGTCCTAGCCAATTTTCACATCCCTCTGACCTCTCCCATCATGGTGCTCAATTATATATTCATATTGCTTTATTATCTATTTGTTTCAAATGATTTTATATCTTAGTTCCTAGAAGGTTATTTTTCCAAATACTTGGAAAAGTTTATACTTCCCAGAGCACATAGCCAAGTGCAACACACATAATAAGCATGTAATAAAGTAGTGGTCGAGATGGTGCCCATCAGAACTGCCAGCTCACCAGAGACAGATGTCACAGATAGTTCTGGCCCCCACTCGGATGGGCCAGTCTGATTTCTTTGTAACTATGCACCTGTGGGATGCTTCAGACCCCAGCCCCGATTACCATGAGGACTTGGGGAAGCACTGATAGCTGGAGCTAACTGGTCAACCCAAAGGGGCTTTCGGCAAAAAGGTTCTGCCTGAGGTTGTGCTGACAGCGACTTGTCCATTTCTGGAGACAGCTACCAAGAGGGCCCAGGCCACCGGGAGGAACCTGCTTGATGTCCCCTATGGAGACGGCGAAGGGGAGAAACTGGACATCTACTTTCCTGAGGCAGTGTCTGAAGGTAAGCGGGGGCTAGTGGTCCCCCATGGATCTCAGCTGGGAGCCCTGCCTCGGCCCACACGCCCTTTGTTTTGTCCTACAGCCTTGCCGTTCCTCATGTTTTTTCATGGAGGATACTGGCAGAGCGGAAGGTGAGTCGGGGGATTTGGATGAATGGAGAAAAAGGGAGATTCATCTTTGCCTGGACTCTTCATTTCCTAGGGCTGCTGCAACAACTTACCACAAACTTGGGGGCTCCGACAACAGAAATGTCTTACCTCACAGTTCTGGAGGCCAGAAATCTGAAATTCATCAAGGTGTGGGCAGGGCCACGCTCCCCCTGAAGGCTCTGGGGAGGACCCGTTCTTACCTCTTGCAGCTTCTGGGGTGTCCAGGTCTTTCTCGCCTTGTGACCGCATCACTTCAACCTCAACTTTCATCTTCACAGGGTCTTTGTGTGTCTGTATTTCAATCCTTCCTCTCCTTTCTTTTACAATGTCACCAGTCATTTGATTTAAGGCCCATCCTAAATCTGGGATGATGCCATCTCAAGATTCTGAATTATATCTGCATAGCCCCTATTCCAAATAAGGTCACATTTGCAGGTATGGGGGTTTAGGATTTGGACATGTTTTTTGGGGAGACACCATTGGATCCACTATACCCAATGAAAAGCCTGTTCAGTCTACTCTAATCAAATGGAAAACCACAGTGACTAACCATCCCTGTTTGCTCAGAAGTGAGTGGTTTCCCAGGACCTGGGGTTTTCAGTGGTAAAAAAAGAGAGAGTCCCAGGCAAACTGGGACCACGGGGCGTCCTAAGATAAGCAGAGGGGAATTTGGGATCTTCAGGGACACTGTTGTTCCCTAGGATCTTACTAAGGAGTTGTCTGTTATAGGATCTACTGCTCTTCAAGCATATCATCTTAATGTTACATTTACTGCATTTTTACCCTTTGCTTTGTGAAGCTCTCTACATGTCTCACCTCCTTCAATTCTCAAAAACAGCACCCTAAGAGAAAAAACATAATTGTTCCTATTTTACAGAGAAGGAAATTAGGCTCAGAGGTTAAATATAGTCTCTAGGGTCCCATAGCTAGCATGTGATGTCATAAGGACAAAGCCTCCCTTCTTCCCTTACTGCACCAGGTCAGAGAGCGATAGTGCCCTGGGTGGACAGGACACAGAAGCAGCCTAGTGGCCAAGTGGCCTCCAGTTGTCATGTCTTTGTCTCCTTCTGCAGTAAAGACTCGTCAGCCTTCATGGTCAGCCCACTGACAGCACAGGGAGTGGCTGTGGTGATAGTGGCCTATGACATTGCCCCCAAAGGTAATGAGGGTAGTCTTGCAGGTGCAAGGGCTGGTGGGCTTTGGAGGGGAGAGGGCCCCCGGCAGAGCCTGACATAGCTCCTACCCTCTGCACAGGCACCCTGGACCAGATGGTAGACCAGGTGACCCAGAGCATCGTGTTTGTCCAGAAACAGTATCCAGGCAACCAGTGGGTATCGCTGTAGATTTTCCTTTTGTCAGACTGAGCGGGAGGACAGTGGACTAAGCTTCTTGGATGCAGCCCAACTGCCCCCTCTGGCTTTGGAGCAAAAGGCAAATTGGGACTCCTTGATACTGGCCTGTTGCTTTGGTTATACTGGATGCAAACCCAGCTCTCTGCTCTGACCCACCCAAGGGGAATTTACCTGTGCGGACACTCAGCTGGGGCTCACCTCGCCGCCATGATGCTCCTGGCCAACTGGACCAAGCATGGAGTCACGCCCAACCTCAAAGGTTTCCACGGGGACTGAGCCTGGCTGGGCAGCATTCACCCTCCCCTGATGGGCCTGAGGGTCTGTAACAGCTGCTTGAAATTTCAACAGCTGTGAGTAGCTTGACCTCGGGGCTTTGAGCCTGGGGAGCAGGGCCTGCTTTGCTTCTTCTCTGCCCCCTACCCTGGCCTTGCCCCACTGGCCCTGGAGGCGGGCTGGCCCCATCTTGCCCCACCTGCAGCCTGGCTCTGTGACTGTTCCTTACCTTCACAGGCTTCTTCCTGGTGAGTGGGATCTATGACCTGGAGCCTGTCATGCACACCTCTGAGAATGCCTCTCTCCTCACAACCCTGTGAGTTACTTGTCCCCTCGTCCCCCAGCTGGCCTGCAGCCTGCGAGGAGGGCCAGGGGTGCAGCAAAGGCTGCTCTCTGTCCTGACCACACTTACTCCCTGCACCAGGGAGGATGCTCAGAGGAACAGCCCACAGTGGCACCTGAAGACAGCCCCGACACAGCCTGTGGATCCAGCCTGCCGCATCCTGGTGACTGTGGGCCAACACGACAGCCCCGAATTCCACCGACAGTCCAGGGAACTTTATCAGGTACCCCCAGCACCCCGCTTTTGGCTCGAGGTTGAGGGTCATGCAGTCTTATTATCTTCCTGTTTATTTCACCCAAACGGACCCCACGGTACCAGTCATTTCTTCAATAAATACTTAGCACCTGGTATGTGCCAGGCAGCTGCGAGAGCCCCTCTCCCCCCACCCCCCGCAGCCTCATGCTTCCTCTTCCCTCGTTTCTCCTACTCAGACTCTGTGCCGAGGAGGGTGGAAAGCCTCCTTTGAAGAGCTCCGTGATGTGGATCACTTTGAAATCCTTTGGAACCTAACCCAGAAGGACTACGTGCTCACCCAGGTAGGGTGCATCCCTTCACCGTGGACAGAATGCATCCTGCTGTAGCCCCTACACATAAGGCGAGGTGGCCAGGCAGGGGGCATGGGGAGTCACCTCGCTGGCTCTTTGGCATCCAGGAGGTTGGGGGACTTGACGATAGGGATTGAGTGCCACGCTTGCTTCCTGTACTTCACCTCCCTCTGAAACAGCCCCAGGTGATCTGCAGAGGCTGGTCCTGGCACACAGGTGGGATCTGCATGGGGCTGTGGTGTGGATGGGGACAGGCAGGTACAAGAAAGTATTAGCTTGTTTGTGTGTAAGCATAAAAGCAACACCAACTCCATTGGGAAAGGAGGGATGGAGTTGGCCACATAAATGTTTATTACAATTTTAATGTGGAGAATCCTTTTAAAAGTCTAAGGATGGGGCTTCCCTGGTGGCGCAGTGGTTGAGAGTCCGCCTGCCGATGCAGGGGACAGGGGTTCATGCCCTGGTCTGGGAAGATCCCACATGCCGCGGAGTGGCTGGGCCCGTGAGCTATGGCTGCTGAGCCTGCGTGTCCGGAGCCTGTGCTCCGCAACGGGAGAGGCCACAACAGCGAGAGGCCCGCATACCACAAAAAAAAAAAGTCTAAGGATGAAAAGGAACCTTCCTACACTGTTGGTGCGAATGTAAATTGATACAGCCACTATGTAGAACAGCATGGAGGTTCCTTAAAAAACTAAAAATAGAGTTTCCATATGATCCAGCAATCCTACTTCTGGGCATATACCTGGAGAAAACTATAATTCAAAAAGATATATGCACCCCAGTGTTCATAACAGCACTATTTATAATAGCCAAGAAGCAACCTAAATGTCCATCAACAGATGAATGGATAAAGAGGTGGTATATATATACTAGTCAGCCATAAAAAAGAATGAAATAATGCCATTTGCAGCAACATGGATGGATCTAGAGATTATCATACTAACTGAAATAAATCAGACAGAGAAAGACAAATATCTCATGATATCACTTATTATGTGGAATCTTAACAAATGATACAGGGACTTCCCTGGTGGTGCAGTGGTTAAGAATCTGCCTGCCAATGATGGGGACAGGAGTTTGATCCCTAGTCCAGGAAGATCCCACATGTTGCGGAGCAGCTAAGCCCATGCAGAGCAGCTAAGCCCATGCCCCACACTACTGAGCCCGTGTGTCACAGCTACTGAAGCTCGCGCGCCTAGAGCCCATGATCCAAAACAAGAGAAGCCACCACAATGAGAAGCCCGCGCACCACAACGAAGAGTAGCCCCCGCTTGCCGCAACTAGAGGAAGCCTGTGCACAGCAATGAAGACCCAACGCAGCCAAAAACTATATTAAAAAAACAAATTAAAAGAAAAAATGATACAAATGAACTTATTTACAAAACAGAAATAGACTCACAGACATAGAAAACAAACTTATGGTTACCAAAGGGGAAGCGGGGGGCATAAATTAGGAATTTGGGTTTAACCTATACACACTACTATATATGAAATAGAAGACCAACAAAGACCTACTGTATAGCACAGGGAACTATATTCAATATCTTGTAAGAACCTATATTGGAAAAGAATTTGAAAAAATATATATATTATATATATATAACTTAATCACTTTACTGTATACCTGAAACATTGTAAATCAACTATATTTCAATTTATTTATTTATTTTTAAAAGTTTTACTTATTTATCGGCTGCACCAGGTCTTACTTGCGGCATGCATGCTCTTAGTTGCGGCATGTGGGATCTAGTTTCCTGACTAGGGATCAAACCTGGGCCCCCTGCATTGGGAGCATGGAGTCTTAACCACTGGACCACCAGGGAAGTCCTGACTATACTTCAATTGAAAAAATTATTTTTAAAAAGTCAAAGGCAAGATTGGGGAAAATATTTGCCATGGACCCGGAAAATATACAGTTACTACTTTTTTTCTTTTTTTTCCTGGGAAAGTGGGTACCTGATTAACTTTACTTTTTTTTTTATATTTCTTTTTCCTCCAGTTTTATTGAGATATAATTGACATACAGCACTGTATAAGTTTAAGGTGTACAGCATAATGATTTGACTTACAAACATCATGAAATGAACCACAATAGGTTTAGTGAACATCCATCATCTCACAGATACAAAAGAAAAGAAAAAGAAAAAAATATTTTTCCGTTGTGATGAGAACTCTTAGGATTTACTCTTAACTTTCATATGTAACATAGAGCAGTGTTAATTAAATTTATCGTGTTGTACATTGCATCCCTAGTGCTTATTTATCTTACAACTGGAAGTTTGTACCTTTTACCACCTTCCTCCAATTCCCCCTCCCCCCACTCCCAATTAGCTGCCACCTCAATAGGACTTTTTTTTTAAATATTTTTTAAAATTATTTATTTATTTATTTATTTACTTTTGGCTGCATTGGATCTTCGTTGCAGTGCACGGGCTTCTAATTGCGGCAGCTTCTCTTGTTGTGGAGCATGGGCTCTAAGCGCGCTGGTCAGTAGTTGTAGCTTGCTGGCTTCAGTAGTTGTGGCATGCAGGCTCATTAGTTGTGTCTCACAGGCTCTAGAACGCAGGCTCAGTAGTTGTGGTGTACGGGCTTAGTTGCTCCGCGGCATGTGGGATCTTCCTGGACCAGGGCTTGAAGGCGTGTCCCCTGCATTGGCAGGTGGATTCTTCACCACTGTGCCACCAGGGAAGTCCCTCCATTAGGCTTTTATAGCGTTCAGTTTTAATTCACATAGTTAATATCCTTACCACACAAAGAGCACTTTCAAATCAATAAGAATAGTTCTTTTTTTAAATTGAAATTTAGTTGATTTACAATATTATATTAGTTTCAGGTGTGTAACATAGTGATTTAATATTTTTATATAGCCTATACTCCATTTAAAGATATTATAAAATATTGGCTATATTCCCTGTGCTGTACAATATAACCTTGTAGCTTGTTTATTTTATACATAGTATCAATAGTTTGTACCACTTAATAAGAGCATGTCTTATTTCTCTTTAAGAACAGAAATAAATAGAAAAAATGGACAAAAAATAAGTGATAATTCAAAAAGAAATATATATGGCCAGTAAACATGGGGGAAAAGTAAGCTGCATTAGTGATCATAGAAATGTAACTGAAATGGGACTTCCCTGGTGGTCCAGTGGTTAAGACTTCGCCTTCCAGTGTAGGGGGTGCGGGTTCAATTCCTGGTCGGGGAGCTAAGATCCCACATGTCTCACAGCCAAAAAACCAAAACATAAAACAGAAGCAATATTGTAACAGATTCAATAAAGACTTTAAAAGTGGTCCACATCCAAACAATCTTTAAAAAAAAAAGAAAGAAAGAAATGTAACTGGAAATGAGTCCTTTCCCACCTCTCACGGGAAATATTCTAGTTATAATAGTGCCTAATGCTGGTGAAGACACAGTGAAGTGGGCCTCCCCCATCCTGTGGAGCACACGTTGGCCTGACGTTTCGGGAGTACAGCCTGGCAATATGGACCCAAACCCACTGACCCAGTAATTCTGCTGCTTGGAATTTGTCTTCAGGATAATCAGAGAAACACAGAAAGATAGTCTCTGTAGCTTTATTAATGTTCTAAACTTGGAAATAACCTAAATGTCTAATGAGGTTAAATTATGATATAATCAGGTAACAGAGTGAAGTTTGTGAAAATTAGTTAGGACATGTCAAATTGCTTCAGAGGTAAGAGCAAAACCACAAAAATTAACTGGCCTAGTATCTTCCTAGTTTTATGATACATAGATAGCTAGGCCCTTAGAGGCGTATATATGCATCCGCAAAAAACGTTTACCAGTGGTGTTACAATGGATTTAAAAAATCAATTTCCACATTTTCTACCATGAACATGTATGACTTTTTCTTTAACTGGGGAAAAACAAGCCCCCAATAAATGACATCTCTTAAAGAAACCTAATAAATATTTTAGATTTGGAGGGCCATATGGTCTGTGACAGAACTACCCAACTCTGCCACTGTTGCTCAGAAGCCGCCAGAAACAATTCACAGGTGACTAAATGTGGCTTTGCTCCAATAAAACTGTACTTATGGATGCAGAAATTTGAATTTTATGGAATTTTTACATGTCACAAAAGTATTCTTTTTTTGATTTTTTTTCCAACTGTTTAAAAATGTAAAGCCATTCTTAGCTCATGGGTCATACAAAAACGGGCAATGAGTGGGCGACATTTCAAATGAGAGGTGGGAAAGGACTCATTTAAATTACGTTTCTGTGATCGAAAATGTAGCCTGTTTCTTTAATCAAATTCCTCCCAAGAGATCCTCACAAGAGCCTCTCCAACTCTGGAGCTTTTGTATTTTTCCCTCCTGCTGCAGATTATTTTGAAAACAATCTTCCAGGAGTCCTGATGACACCAGAACCCCCGCCACCAGCATGCACCCCGACTTGTGAAACTTCTCCCAAGAGCCCGACTGCTTCCCATTCTTGCCGGCCTCAGTTTTCCCTGTGCCCAGCAGCGCCTCTGTTTGTCCACCCACCCCGGCCAGGGTCCATTCCCCTCACTGCTCTGGACACGAGTACAAATCTCCATGGCCTGCCCCTGGCCTGGATCGAGCGGGTTCCAGGGAAGGTCTGGCCCAGGTCCACGCCATGTGTGATACCCAGAATCTGGCCCACAGTCTGCTGAGAGGGTGAAACAAAAGTGACAACTCCCAACCAAAATGAAGAGTAAGAGCTCCCCAAACCAGTTTTTGTTCTGTGTTTTTGTTTCACTCCTTTGTCTACTCTGTCCTGGGCTCCACCTGACGTCTGGATTCATCCCGGAAAGCCCTGGGATTTTATCCTTGGGGTTAACACCTTGACTGACAGGACAGTGACATCCACAGGTAGAACACACTTCCTCTGCCACTCCCCCCCACACACAGGGGTGTGTGTGCATTCAGTTCCCAAGGAGCCAGCTGGGTCCACCCACCATCCACCACACCCCTCTCTCGCCCACTCTGAATAGCTAGCAGTTCAAGAATGATTGATTATAGCGAAAATAGGTAATAGCCTGAATATTCATCAGTAGGGAGTAAGTACATCTGAGCAGCCGACCATCATTAGAAAGAGGTCTGTAGTTTTTTGTTTTCTGTTTCTTTTGCGGTACGCGGGCCTCTCAGTGTTGTGGCCTCTCCCGTTGCGGAGCACAGGCTCCGGACGCGCAGGCTCAGCGGCCATGGCTCACGGGCCCAGCCGCTCCGCGGCATGTGGGATCTTCCCGGACCAGGGCATGAACCCGCGTCCTCTGCATCGGCAGGCGGACTCTCAACCACTGTGCCACCAGGGAAGTCCGAGGTCTGTGTTTATAACGGGGGACATCTCCAAGACATACTGTTACCTGACAAAGAGCAAGATGCTCAACGATACAGTATAGTACCATCTCAACAGCATTACCTAATACTCACAAAATGACATGTTTCTGTGTGTGCACACGCGTGTGTGAATGCAGAGAAAAAGTTTGGGGAGGCTCCACACCTAACACCTCTGCTCCCCTCTGGGGAGGGAAGTGGCGTCGGGAACACGAGGAGGGGGTGTTTTGGCTTCATCTGGATTATTTGGATCTTTTAGGATAAGAATGTAATGAGGCAAAAAAACCCTAATGGGACCTAATTACATCTAAAACTTTTGCACAGCAAAGAAAACCATCAACAAAATGAAAAGACGACCTACTGAATGGGAGAAAATATTTGTAAATGATATGATGGGTAAGGGGTTAATATCCAAAATATATAAACAGCTCATACAACTCAACATCATAAAGACAAACAAGCCTATTAAAAAATGCGCAGAAGAACTGAATAGACATTTTTCCAAAGAAGATATACAGAGGGCCAACAGGCACATGAAAAGATGCTCAACATCACTAATCATCAGGGAAATGCAAATCAAAACCACAGTGAGGTATCACCTCACACCTGTCAGGATGGCCATCATCAAGAAGACCACAAACAAATGTTGGCAAGGCTGTGGAGAAAAGGGAATCCTCCTACACTGTTGGTGGGAATGTGAATTGGTACAGCGACTGTGGAAAACAGTATGGAGGTTCCTCGAAAAACTGAAAATAGAATTACCATATGACCCAGCAATTCCACTCCTGGATGTATACCTGAAGCAAATGAAAACATTAATTTGAAAAGATACGTGCACCCCAGTGTTCACAACAGCATTATTTACAATTGCCAAGATATGGAAGCAACCTAAGTGTCCAACAACAGATGACTGGATAAAGAAGATGTGATATACACACACACACACACACACACACACACACACACACATAGACAGAATGGAATACTACTCAGCTATAAAAAAAAGAATGAAAATTTGCCATTTTCAGCAACATAGATGGACTTGGAGGGCATAAGTGAAATGAGTCAGAGGAAGACAAATACTGTGTGTTATCACTTATCTGTGGAATCTAAACAGTAAAACAAATTAGTTAATATAAAAAAAAAGAGACTCACAGATCTAGAGAACAACCTAGTGGTTACCAGTGGGGAGAAGGAATTTGGGAGGGGCAAGATAGGGGCAGGAGATTAAGAGGTATAAACTATTATGTATAAAACAAATAAGCTGGGGCTTCCCTGGTGGCGCACTGGTTGAGAGTCCGCCTGCCGATGCAGGGGACACGGGTTCGTGCCCCAGTCCGGGAAGATCCCACATGCCGCGGAGCGGCCGGGTCCGTGAGCCATGGCTGCTGAGCCTGCGCGTCTGGAGCCTGTGCTCCACAACGGGAGAGGCCACAACAGTGAGAGGCCCACGTACCGCAAAAAAAAAACAAAAAACAAAAAAAAACCACAAAGACCCAACGCAGACAAAAATAGATAATTGGAAAAAAAAAAACCTTATGGAAAAGACCTAAGCAGCTGAAGTTTTCAGTAAAATAAAAATTTAAATGGTAAAAGTTGGTATATGTTGGTGCCAAATAGAAAATGAATCACAGAAATACGTTGACTTGATGGTGTTTGATCCAGAAGATATATATTTTTATTTATTTATTTATTGGCCACGCCACCAGGGATTGAACCTGTGCCCTCGGCAGTGAAAGCACAGAGTCCTAACCACTGGACTGCGAGGGAGTTCCCTGGAAGATATATATTTTTATACAGATGCTATCAGTATTGGTAGAACTCTGATTAAAATATCCTAGGATGAAAAAGGCAGGGTCAACATCCACCCAGACAAGATGGCGGAGCAAACCGTGTCCTGGTCTGATGATTGTGAGGACAGGTTGGCAATATTAAAAAGTGTTGAAAGACACACACACGCTTTCCCAGCAATCCTGCTTGCAGATGTCTATGCTACAGGCATAGTTGTACATGTTTGTGTGTCTGTTTGCTGTAGTACAATTCATAATAGCAAAAAAAAAAAATTGGAGATACCCAATGGGAAATTTGTTAATTGTAATTAGGTAGACCATCCAATAAACACGATGCAGATATTATAAAACATGTTGAGATCTCTAGGTGCCAATAAAGCTGAGATGTGCTGTTACCTGAAAAGACAGGATGCCAAGTGGTGTATGAGCACACACACACACACACACCTGGAAGTATACCTAGAAACTGCTGAAAAGTTTCTTTCTGCTAGAGGTCTTTGGGGAGAGGAAGACTTCCTTCCCATTGCATGATTTTTGCTTTTACAGCATTGATGTGTCACTCTTACAGTAGAGGAAAAATGCGTTCACAAAAGTTTTGGTGAGACTAGATGGCCATAAGGTAATATCTAGCATTGATGTTTTATGATCTCAAAACAGTTTTGTCTGATCATCACAGTATCCATCAGGATTTGTTGCCAACTATTTGAAAATCCAGAAAGTTCACATAAAAATGCAAATTTGCCTTTGTGATAAATATATTTTTGGTCTTTGTCCCCGATTCCTGGCACACAGCTCCTAAAAAACCTTTGGAATCTCCAGAGTGATAGGAGCGTCTTTTGTTCTAATGAGCAACCCCTAGATGCTTCTGGCTGGGGCTGGTGGCCATAAAGACCAAGCCTTCATTAGAAGCTTGGAGCTTTCAGCCCCACCCTCCCAATCTTCAGAGAGTGGAGAGGAGCTGGTGATTCAATTAATCATCAAAGGCCAATGATTTGATCAACCAAGCCTGTGAAACCTCATAAAAACCACTTAAAGTCAGGTTCATAGAGCTGGAAGGCTGGGGCGCCTCATGAGGCTAGGCACCAGCTACACAGGCCTGCTCTGAACCCAGTCTGGCTGTGCCTACAGGAAGGTGCCTGCTCCCTGGGCTCTCATTTCTATTATCCAGGCGGATTGTCCTAGGCTGTTCACTTCCTGGAGTCACATAACAATCCCACCTCCCTGATAGGACACCCAGGTCTCCTGACTGGAGGGCAGTGGGCATTGTTTCCACACATTGCTTCACCTCTGTTGACCCCCACCCGCACGTCTGTTTGGGGCAGGGACTTAGAAGGGATATCTAACTCCTGAGGAATTCTGGCGGAAAAGGAAGAACAAAGCTCCAAGGGTCAATTTCTGGACTTCCAGGAAGCTTCAGTGAAAAGACTTGATAAAAGAGACGAGTGAACAGCTCACTCCAGCAAGGGTGGAGGTTTAGCTGTGTACTTCATCTATGTGAAATCTTTCCCCTGGAGGATGGATGCGTGGCCTCTAGATGGACGTGCCTCAGCACATGTTCCAACCCGGACGGCACAAGGGCTGGCTGAGGAAGCTGGCACTAGGAGGTTCCAGGAGTGGGGTACCCACAAAAACAATAACAGTTTGCACGCTGAAAGGGCTTAATCCATTTGTGCTCGTCAGGTGCCACTCCATGAAACTATCACGGGGACTTCGGCCCATTCTCCACTCCTCTTCCTACCACTGTTTGCAAGTAGCTGGGATGGGAGTAAGCGCGGGGCGGGGCTGGGTCGGTGCCTGGTGAGCAGAAGCAGAGACATGTGGCGGGAGGACTACAACTCCCAGCACACCCCGCGCCGCCCAGCTTCCCATTTCCCAGAAGGCCGCGGGCGGCGCGTTCCCGACATGCCCCGCGGCGGCCGACAACCGCCGGATTTGAATCGCGGCACCGCTCGGCGGCGGCGGGATGAGTACCCCGTTGTTGCCCCCGGCCTGGCAGCTCTACCTCAAGGACCATCGTGTCTCCACATTTAAGAACTGGCCCTTCTTGGAGGGCTGTGCCTGCACCCCGGAGCGAGTGAGTCCGCGCGGCCTCCCGGAGCCCCCAAGCCCGCCCCGCCCCCAGAGCCCCGCCCCAGCCCCTGAGGCGACCCCTCCCGCGGGCCCCGGCCCCTCTGTGGGCCCCCAGGGCGATCCCTCCCGCGCGCTCTGGTCCCTCTGTGGGTTCCCGGGCCCCTGGGGCGACCCCTTCTGCGGGCTCTAGCCCCTCTGTGGCCTCCCGGAACTCGGGGGAACCCCTCCGCTCTGGGGCCTGAGCCGAGCTCTCCTTTGCAGATGGCCGCGGCCGGCTTCATCCACTGTCCAACTGAGAACGAGCCCGACTTGGCTCAGTGTTTCTTCTGCTTCAAGGAGTTGGAAGGCTGGGAGCCAGATGACGACCCTATGTAAGTCCCTCGGGCCAGCCTCGCTGGGCTTCCGGGGTTCCCCAGTTCCATCAGGACCGTTTGTTCTTTGTTTTTATTTATTTATTTTTACATCTTTATTGGAGTATAATTGCTTTACAATGGTGTGTTAGTTTCTGCTTTATAACAAAGTGAATCAGTTATACATATACATAGGTTCCCATATCTCTTCCCTCTTGCGTCTCCCTCCCTCCCACCCTCCCTATCCCACCCCTCCAGGCGATCACAAAGCACCGAGCTGATCTCCCTGTGCTATGCGGCTGCTTCCCACTAGCTATCTACCTTACGTTTGGTAGTGTATATATGTCCATAGGACCGTTTGTTTTGACTTGGGCTCCCCACAAAAAACATCTAAATTTCGAAGTATTATTGAAGGACCTGCGGCTTTCCGGCCTCGTTTGTGCCCTAAACAGCTGCTGTAAAGGATGAGCCTCTGCTGGCACCTTGGTGATGCTTTCAACCTAATCAAGTCTGATTTGGCCGAATGTCCTCCTGGGTGGAGTGTTGAAGAAAGGCACATTCTTGTAGGTGCTTGATACCTTTCCGGTTAGACAGAATAC